ACCAAACGTTAAAGATATACCATTTTGTTCGTAATGGAGCAATTTCTCCTAGGTCCTCTCACAGAATCTTCCCTGATATTTGTTTGTCCTTAAACCATATTATAAGGCAGAGAAACTATCATTTCTAATAATGACGTTTGGGCAAACAGTTATGTAGGAGTTGTCTCTCTTCGTGAAGATGGCATGGGAGGATTTGTACATGGTGTGGGTACACATGGACGGTGAAGGGGGGTTTTGAAGATGGTTTTCGGTATATTTTGTATGATCAATGGTATTATGGAAAATAATTGTACATGGCATGATATGTTATCATTTATATATAATATTTGGGGGTAATACATACAACGATTATACATACATACAGTACATATGATAACAAATTATCAACCAAAATCAGTCGAAGTTTTGAATTCTGTTACTACAGATTTGAGGTGAACGGGAATTAGATAAATTTACAATACCAGACTTTTTGTTATGTGCATTTGCCATGACATCTGAAATAAGAAAAACACATTGCGTCGATCATAAGACACCCCAGGGAAACGATTCGCAGTTTGTAGAAGACCTGTCTTTAAGCGCTGATACCACTAGAAACACGAGGGTGCCAGTTATTTCTATACTTAGTGTATGATATAGAACGTTCTTTGCAAGTTTGTGATAAGTTAATATGGAGTTGGCTTTTTGGACATCAATTAAGGAGTGGTTATTTTCCAAATACTCATTGGACCTTAGGGTGCTGGTTCTTGGCCTAATATAGTAACTGGACCTTAGGGAGCTGGTTCTTGGCCTAATATAGTAACTGGACCTTAGGGAGTTGGTTTATAGCCTAATATAGTAACTGGACCTTAGGGAGCTGTATTTTTAGCCTAATATAATAACTGGACCGTAGGGAGCTGGTTTATAGCCTAATATAGTAATTGGACCTTAGGGAGCTGGTTCTTGGCCTAATATAGTAACTTGACCTTAAGGAGCTGGTTTTTAGCCAGATAGTAACTGGACTTGAGGGAGCTGGTGCCTAATATAGTAACTGGACCTTAGGGAGCTGGTTTTTGGCCTAATATAGTAACTTGACCTTAGGGTGCTGGCTTTTAGCCTAATATAGTACTTGGATCTTAGGGTGCTGGTTTTTAGCCCTATATAGTACTTGGATCTTAGGGTGCTGGTTTTTAGCCCTATATATAACTGGACCTTAGGATGCTGGTTTTAGCCTAATATAGTAACTGGACCTTAGGGAGCTGGTTCTTGGCCTAATATAGTAACTGGACCTTAGGGAGCTGGTTCTTAGTCAGACAGTAATTGGATATTAAGAGATGTGGTCCTTAACCGGATAGTAATTACACTTTAGGGATTTTGTTCTTAGCCAGCTATAGTAATTAGACCTTTGGGAGCTGTTTCTTACCGTATGAACTTGGTTGTTAGCAGATTGAATGGGACCTTAATTAGATGTCCTAATTATAAATCAATAGACGGCAAAGACGTCTTGAGGGTATAGGCTACATTGAGCTATTCCCTTAAATTTCAACCGCCTTTTTGTTCGTGGTGCTGTAATGAGTCGATTTCGCGTTGTTGTTTCACAAGCACTTTTGTTTTGCACTAAGTGCAATATCCATGAGTATTTTGACTAAAACATAAAGAAATAAGTCAATTAAATTGCAGACGAGGTTTTTCTTTGTATTATAGTCCGAATAATTCTCCATTTAACCCATCACATACATAGAACATGACCCACAAACAAATACGCTAGGCAGAGGTACTTCGCTTATAGTCGCCTAATGGGGCTGTTCTTTTGAAAATGTAAAAACACAATTGATGTTTTCGTTCTATTGCACGGACATATATCAATCGTGAATGAAATCTCATAGAAACCCAACTTGTTTTCATAACTTTGGCGCATCTGGTCCAATTCACAGCTATATATATAGGAATAAAGTTCTTTATGTCATGTTCAGAGAAGCTTGAACGAGTCGAAATCAATGTTATATTGCTTATCCCTCTTAGCACTTCTTTCAAACGACCATTTACAACTGGTAATCAGTACGTATACAGTTTGGGGCATTTTTGAGTAAATAGTATGCATGCGAGTTATCGGGATAGGTTGATGGGTATAAGAGTAAATAGTACGTTTGTGAGTTATGGGGAGGTTTACGTGTAGGGTAGGGTCAGTTGGTATACAGGTTGAGGGGTATTAGAGTTACTAGTATACGGAGGTTTACGTGTAGGGTAGGGACAGTTGGTGTACAGGTTGAGGGTATTTGAGTTACTAGTATGTATGTGAGTTATACGGAGGGTTACGTGTAGGGTAGGGACAGTTGGTGTCCAGGTTGAGGGGTATTAGAGTTACTAGTATGTATGAGAGTTATACGGAGGTTTACGTGTAGGGGAGGGACAGTTGGTGTACAGGTTGAGGGTATTTGAGTTACTAGTATGTATGTGAGTTATACGGAGGTTTACGTGTAGGGTAGGGACAGTTGCTGTACATGTTGAGGGGTATTAGAGTTACTAGTACGTTTGTGAGTTATACGGAGGTTTACGTGTAGGGTATGGACAGTTGGTGTACAGGTTGAGGAGTATTAGAGTTACTAGTATACGGAGGTTTACGTGTAAGGTAGGGACAGTTGGTGTACATGTTGAGGGGTATTAGAGTTACTAGTATACGGAGGTTTACGTGTAGGGGAGGGACAGTTGGTGTACAGGTTGAGGGGTATTTGAGTAACTAGTATGTATGTGAGTTATACGGAGGTTTACGTTTAGGGTAGGCATCATCAGATCCTCGCTACCACAAGGAGGCAAATACAGTTGGTGTACATGTTGAGGGGTATTAGAGTTACTAGTATGTATGTGAGTTATACGGAGGTTTACGCGTAGGGCAGGCCTCATCAGATCCTCGCTACCACAAGGAGGCAAATACAGTTGGTGTACATGTTGAGGGGTATTAGAGTTACAAGTATGTATGCGAGTTATACGGAGGTTTACGTGTAGGGTATGGACAGTTGGTGTACATGTTGAGGGGTATTAGAGGTACTAGTATACGGAGGTTTACGTGTAGGGTAGGGACAGTTAGTGTACATGTTGAGGGGTATTAGAGTTACAAGTATACGTAGGTTTACGTGTAGGGTAGGGACAGTTGGTGTACAGGTTGAGGGGCATTAGAGTTACTAGTATGTATGTGAGTTATACGGGGGTTTAAGTGTAGGGTAGGGACAGTTGGTGGGTATTAGAGTTACTAGTATATATGTGAGTTATACGGAGGTTTACGTGTAGGGTAGAGACAGTTGGTGTACAGGTTGAGGGGTATTTGAGTAACTAGTATGTATGTGAGTTATACGGAGGTTTACGCGTAGGGCAGGCCTCATCAGATCCTCGCTACCACAAGGAGGCAAATACAGTTGGTGTACATGTTGAGGGGTATTAGAGTGACAAGGATGTATGTGAGTTATACGGAGGTTTACGTGTAGGATAGGGACAGTTCGTGTACAGGTTGAGGAGTATTAGAGTTACTAGTATGCGGAGGTTTACGTGTAAGGTAGGGACAGTTGGTGTACATGTTGAGGGGGATTAGAGTTACTAGTATGTATGCGAGTTATACGGAGGTTTACGTGTAGGGTATGGACAGTTGGTGTACATGTTGAGGGGTATTAGAGGTACTAGTATACGGAGGTTTACGTGTAGGGTAGGGACAGTGGGTGTACAGGTTGAGGGGTATTAGAGTTACTAGTATATATGTGAGTTATACGGAGGTTTACGTATAGGGTAGGGACAGTTGGTGTACAGGTTGAGGGGGATTAGAGTTACTAGTATGTATGCGAGTTATACGGAGGTTTACGTGTAGGGTAGGGACAGTGGGTGTACAGGTTGAGGGGTATTAGAGTTACTAGTATATATGTGAGTTATACGGAGGTTTACGTGTAGGGTAGGGACAGTGGGTGTACAGGTTGAGGGGTATTAGAGTTACTAGTATATATGTGAGTTATACGGAGGTTTACGTATAGGGTAGGGACAGTTGGTGTACAGGTTGAGGGGGATTAGAGTTACTAGTATGTATGTGAGTTATACGTAGGTTTACGTGTAGGGTAGGCATCATCAGATCCTCGCTACCACAAGGAGGCAAATACAGTTGGTGTACATGTTGAGGGGTATTAGAGTTACAAGTATGTATGCGAGTTATACGGAGGTTTACGTGTAGGGTATGGACAGTTGGTGTACAGGTTGAGGAGTATTAGAGTTACTAGTATACGGAGGTTTACGTGTAGGGTAGGGACAATTGGTGTTCAGGTTGAGGGGTATTAGAGTTACAAGTATGTATGCGAGTTATACGGAGGTTTAAGTGTAGGGTAGGGACAGTTGGTGTACATGTTGAGGGGAATTAGAGTTACTAGTATGTATGTGAGTTATACGTAGGTTTACGTGTAGGGTAGGCATCATCAGATCCTCGCTACCACAAGGAGGCAAATACACCAACATATCCTGCCTCAAGCACACACACACACACACACATGCACTCATACGTACACAACACATATGGAGGCACGTCCTTAAATGACCAAAGATGTTGATAGGACGTTAGACAAATTGAAAACAACCAACCACTGCCACTCTCACTACATCTGTCAGTACTATTGGACATATTTCAGACTACTGTTGTAATGAGGGGAAATTGCCAAACAAAGAAGCATGTAACAATTCAAAAACAAGCATCAATTATTCAATTTTAATGTACAATTACAGACGTACATTTTCATACAAAAAAATAACATAGTGATTAAGTACAGCCTCAATATCGTGGCGAGATAATATGTATGAGATTCTGTAATATAAGAGACATCTTTTGCTGCATGTAGTTTTGTTTTTATTCACCAAATGACCCCCCCCCCCCCAAGAGGGAGACAACCCCCACGAGGAAGATAGGAACTATTCTGTATTTTTTGCTTTCTTTGGTATTTTTAATAAAACAAATATCATTTTTTCAAAATATACATAAATATAAATGTCTTCAACTAGCATGGATTATCCATAAATTACAAAGGAGATTATCCAGGTATTTTAAATAAAAATGTAATTCAATTATTTGAGTTTAGAACGCCGACAATAAATCATGTTTATGGTCATTGTTCCAAGAAACATGTAGAATGGTAGGCGTTTTACAGATAGAATTACAACATTTACAAAATGATAAAAGAATGTTTTTAGTAATCAAACAAGCAGTGAAGTTTTACAGTATTTTTGTTTACCTGAGATGTGATTGTTGATCAATACTCGTGTAAACTATACAAACAATGGATGATAGTCAAGGCGTTTGCTCAACCACATATTCAAACATATTTAAACATATTTATAACCAAATCGGTTCAACGAAATATATACATATATTGTCTGAATTGAAAATGACACAGATATACGTTGGATACGTAATTAGAATATAGAAGATGTCGCCCATTTACGTAAATCTACAGTTCAGTACGCATTAGAACTCTCCTCGAATGCGCCGTGCCAGCTTGATGTCTCGTGGCATAATGGTGATTCTCTTGGCGTGGATAGCACAAAGGTTGGTGTCCTCGAACAAACCCACAAGGAATGCCTCGCATGCCTCCTGTTAAACACAAAGAGACAAAATCAAAATAAACATTTAAAACCATTTTGCTCAATTTCACTGAAAAAGATCGATCTTAAAAAAACACCTAAGTAATGATTAATTCCTTTAATAGAACAACTAGAACAAGAGAAGGACAAATGGTTATACACGTGATCAATAAGCAACAATTTGGTTTAGTTCAGTTTAATTTTGATTAACGTCCTATTAACAGCTAATGTCATTTAAGGACGTGTCTCCATGTGTGTAGTGTATGCGTGCTTGCGTGCGTGTATGCAGGAGGCAGGGTATGTTTGTGTGCCTGCCTCCTTGTGATAGCGCAGATCTGATGCCGAATGTATAGTGCTATCTCACTGAAATACCATGCCAAAGGCACCCAGCACAGCATTCCGCCTGGTCACATCATACTGACAACGGGTAAACCAGTTGTTGCCATTCCCCATAATGCTGAACGTTGAGCAGGGAATAACAACTTCCATTTTTAAGGATTTCGTATGTCCCAGCCAGGGGACAGAACCAATTGCCTTCCTCCCCTGGGCGAACGATCAACATTTAGGCCAAAAGTGAGGTGTTGCCAAGCAAGGCGCTAGGAAATCAAATGTAGTTAGAAGTAGAAGTAGTTAGATCCAAAATATTGCAATGGGTGCAGAAGATTTATTTTGGTTGCTTTTGTGTCCCCAAATGGAGGACATCAAAGCAAATCCCCAATTCTGCAGGGGGTTCACTCATTAGTCGCCGCCTGCGTTTCCCGATCCCCTACCTGCAGGGGTGCCAAACCAACTTCACATCTATCCAAGGAGCAATATGTTATAAAAATATCAGATATGTCATAGCCAATTAACATTTATTTAAAGAGCAATATCAATCCTGTGTTAATAAAAATATGTAACATATCTGAAATATGATATATATCTTTTCTATATAAGGTATCATATTTGTTTATCAGATATGTTTTGATGCTTTCAAGATGTCATATTTGTAACTTTATAAGAAATTTGATCTGTATATATATAATATATCTTAAATGAGAGTTTATAAGATATCTTAAATCCAAATAAAATATCTTATTAATATACAAGATATCCTACCTGTTTTTAGTAACATTTGAGACACAAACAAGATATCTTACAAACATAATTATAGTAATTAAATACAGGATAGAAATTGCTCCTTGAATAAATGTTTATAAGATTAAATTGTTAGTCATACGACGGGCGAGATGTGAACCCTCTATCAAGGAAACCGAATGGGAGGTGTAGAGATTTTAATGCTCTATGACTTGACGGAATTACATCCCCGAAACACATGTAACACTCGATATTATGACGGTAAATCTTACCATGTATCAACAAAGTTCAGGAAAACGGAGAGACTGAAATTGCCTACTTAAAAGAGTAAACGGACGGATGGGGGTGCACGTTCGGACAGAATAGCAAAGCCTTAGAATGTGTGCATACTTCAACGGGCGAATGCTTTTTTTCAAAATGCTGGCAGTTAATTTGATCAACTTCTCAAATCAATCATTTTGTCATGCGGCATAGCAAGAATTGATGATATAGCCAATATACTAGGCGGAAAATCAGTCTGTGATATAATCAATATAATTATTTACTTCATTTCCTCGAAGATATTGAGAAGCACCAGCTTAATACTAAAAGAAGTTCTAAAAATTCTCTTAGAGCTGAATTGGTAACCTCTCATCCCAGATTATTTCTGGGTATATGTCGTTATCATAGGACTCGTGGTTTTACGAAAAAAAATCATTTTAAGGTTTTATCACTTTAAATGATGGTCAAAGTTATTTATCTTAGCGTCACAATTGTTGCTTTATATAGTGAATAACAATGTCCCCAATCTGCGAGACTAACACACCATACCTGTAAGGAACACACCAGGTATATCATTATCACTTACCTGTAAGGAAGCCAACGCCGCGACCTTAAACTTGTAGTTGAACTTGGAGATTTTCAAAGAGATTTCCCGCACCAGTCTTTGGAAAGGAAGCTTCCGAATGAGAAGTTCTGTGGTCTTCTGGTACATGCGGATTTCTCTCAGAGCAACAGTCCCTGGCCGAAAACGATGAGGCTTCTTCAACCTTGACAGGTCGCACATCGACTCCCGATATCTCGACAACATTGTACGGTGCACCAATCCCCCTGTGGATTTTCGGGCCGTTTGCTTTGCTCTCCCCATGTCAAAGACTGATTAAGCTCTGCTAGAAGGTTACATAGAAAAATATTAACATATATATGTTCTAATCAAAGGCACACTACCCAACGTAAAGTATACCAAATAATACACAACATTTTCCCAAGTAAGAAATCACTATTAAACGCTTAAATTATTCCTCATTTTATGAAAAATACTTGAAATCTCATTTGTATTATTTTGTCGTAAAACAACGAGAATAATATTTAATTTCGTACCCGGCGAATATCAACAATGCCTAAATCTAACGATATTACGACACATACTTAAAACAACGTTTACTGTTTGAATCCAATTACACCCGAAAGATCTAACTCCGTGCAAACAAGATACAACAAAAATGCTGGATTTACGATGAATTAACGTGCAAATCATAGGAACAACGCCGTCTTCATAAACAAGTATTTTATCTGTTAAAAGAGTACTTTGAATTCCACCTTTTGACTTACCTTGCTGGAATGAAACACAAACGAACGCTGAATTCCTCTACGGCTTACATCTGTCAGAATCCCCGCGAAAACTGAAGAGTGGATGCGCATGTCATGCGCGATTTTACACATTTTGGAGACAAAGTGAAGTAGGATGCTCTCTTATCTTGAAAACATGAATTGTTGAAGACAACGAAACTGGTGTACGTACTGAAAGAAATATATACCATAATTTTTTTCTATTTTTTTCTTTTTTTTTTAATTTGTAATATATTACATGTAACATAAACATGACCTTATTGTGACAAAATACAAGTTGTAGTTGGTATTTGCGGAAAGGTGGCCAAATTAACCGATGTTAATCTTCAGGCAAAACAAACCGTGGAACGCCAAAAATCGTTACTTTAAATTCTGCTTTCAAAAGTCACAATGATTTTCGATCGAATTGGACAAGTTTAGATTATCATTTATCAATATCATCTGATTTTAAATGTTCATTACAATTCCTCTGTGACAATAAACAATGATCTATTTTTTCACACAACGTCTCTCATCAGTAATTCGAGACTTTGATGTAATACACAGTAGTTCAGACCTATATGGATTTCAATCTTTTTGGCCTCTAGCATCACCGATGATCCATAGGAGAATGCATTGTAATTCATTTTACCAAACATCTTTTGTAAGAGTTGCCCCCCTTCATCCTGTACCACCCTTACAATCGTCTTATAAAGCGGTACATGATTTCATAGTCCCGTTACAGAGTGAATATCTGTGTAAACCAGACACATTTTACAAATATGTGTTCCAAGGCCTGCCTACCTGTGGTGAGAAGTTAGGCTCGTGCTACTGTGTATATCACAGACCAGGAGACTGGAATATTGCAGTCTCCCTGAATGACACCAGACTTAGACATTTTGACAGATAGATGTCTGAGTTTGGAAACTCGGGCTACCTGAATGCATGCGTCACATTCAACCTTTTCTTGTCTGCCTACCAAACAATGTCCCTCCCAGTTTCCATTATCTTGAAATGATATCAACAGACCATGTTATGTAAAAATAAAACTAATTCTAACAAAACATATTAAATACTTTACTGATAAAGTATGTTTAATGTCACCCTTATAAAAACTCATTAGCCTTTGCATTAATTTAATAGAGTAATTAAGGCAGACGATTGCAGGCAATCTCCCATGGTCTACCACTTCTACAGAAACTGTGCTGACAGTTCAAATGCATAAAGGTGTTTCTCTAATTGCACAATTATTTTGCTGCAAACAACAATATGGATAAACCTGTTCAATCATTCTGGTCATACTATATATAGGTCAGTGACCTTCACTTATGGATTTCAATCTTTTTGGTTTCTAGCATCACCGATGATCCATAGACGAACGAAATAGCTGTATGGTGCATTGTATCTGTTATCAAATCCCAAAGGTTATAGGTGCAGTCACCTGTGTTTATTTTACGTTCATCTTTCAAGCTACTCTGTTGTTGGACTTCTTAATCCCCGAGGGTTTTCGTACTATTGATAGCCATACTTATATCTTAGTCCACGAGGGTTGTCGTACTATTGATAGCCATACTTATCACTTAGTCCCCGAGGGTTGCCGTACTTATATCTTAGTCCACGAGGGTTGCCGTACTATTGATAGCCATCCTTATCTCTTAGTCCCCGAGGGTTTCCGTACTATTGATAGCCATACTTATCTATTAGTCCCCGATGGTTGCCGTACTTATAACTTAGTCCACGAGGGTTGGCGTACTATTGATAGCCATACTTATATCTTAGTCCACGAGGGTTGCCGTTCTATTGATAGCCATACTTATCTCATAGTCCCCGAGGTTTGCCGTACTATTGATAGCCATACTTATCTCTTAATCCCCGAGGTTTGCCATACTTATATCTTAGTCCACGAGGGTTGCCGTACTATTGATAGCCATACTTATCTCTTAGTCCCCGAGGTTTGCCATACTTATCTCTTAGTCCACGAGGTTTGCCATACTTATCTCTTAGTCCCCGAGCTTAGTCCCCGAGGGTTGTCGTAGTATTGATAGCCATACTTATCTCTTAGTCCCCAAGGGTTGCCGTAGTATTGATAGCCATACTTATCTCTTAGTCCCCGAGGTTTGCCATACTTATCTCTTAGTCCCCGAGCTTAGTCCCCGAGGGTTGTCGTAGTATTGATAGCCATACTTATCTCTTAGTCCCCGAGGGTTGCCGTACTTTTGATAGCCATACTTATCTCTTAGTCCCGAGGGTTGCCGTACTATTGATAGCCATACTGATCACTTAATCCCCGAGGGTTGCCGTACTATTGATAGCCATACTTATCTCTTAGTCCCGAGGGTTGCCGTACTATTGATAGCCATACTGATCACTTAATCCCCGAGGGTTGACGTACTATTGATAGCCATACTTATCTCTTAGTCTCCGAGGTTTGCCGTACTATTGATAGCCATACTTATCTCTTGGTCCGCGAGGGTTGCCGTACTATTGATAGCCATACTTATATCTTAGTCCAAGAGGGTTGCCGTACTATTGATAGCCATACTTATCACTTAGTCCCCGAGGTTTGCCGTACTATTGATAGCCATACTTATCTCTTAGTCCCGAGGGTTGCCGTACTATTGATAGCCATACTTATATCTTAGTCCCCGAGGGTTGCCGTACTATTGATAACCATACTTATCTCTTAGTCCACGAGGGTTGCCGTACTATTGATAGCCATACTTATCTCTTAGTCCCCGAGGGTTGCCGTACTATTGATAGCCACACTTATCTCTTAATCCCCGAGGGTTGCCGTACTATTGATAGCCATACTTATCTCTTAGTCCGCGAGGGTTGCCGTACTATTGATAGCCATACTTATCTCTTAGTAGTGGCACGGCTTTTAATATCTAACTATACTCATAAATTTGAAATTATAACCAGTACGCCTCTATTTTTTGAAATTTATATGATTAAGTGTTTTTTTCGCAACTCTCCTACTAAATCCATATTTTGTTCATCTTTGTAAGAGTTGCCCCCCTTCATCCTGTACCATCCACACAGTCGTTAGAGTGCACTGTTGTGTTAGAGGTCCAGACACATTTTACAAATATGTATTCCGAGGCCTGCCTACCAGTGGTGAGAAGTTTGGCACTTGTTACAGTGGATATCACAGACCAGGAGACTTATATCTCGGGCTACCTGAATGTATGCGTCACATTCACCCTTTTCTTGTCAAACAAATGTCCCTCCCAGTTTCCATTATCTTGAAATGATATCAACAGACCATGTTTTGTAAAAATAAAACTAATTCTAACAAAACATATTAAATACTTTACTGATAAAGTATGTTTAATGTCACCCTTATAAAAACTCATTAGCCTTTGCATTCATTTAATTTAATAGAGTAATTAAGGCAGAGTAGTGCAGGCAATCCACAGATCTGCACCAGTAGTGTTTCTTTATTAACCAACTGTACACTTATCCCATGGTCTTCCACTTCTACAGAAACTGTGCTGACAGTTCAAATGCATAAAGGTGTTTCTCTAATTGCACAATTATTTTACTGCAAATGATTCTGGTCATAATATAGGTCAGTGACCTTATGCTCCAGTCAATTGTTTCAATGTTTTGGTCAACAGTCAAAATACTGGTCACAGTGACCTTTTTATCCAACACTCCAACTGGACCCGAGGATCAGTATTTCTGTACCAACTTACCAAGTTTCCCAAGTCCAGGTAGGATACTATATGAGATATGCCCCAAAACTGTTTCGATGATTGAGGTCTATGATCAAAATATAGGTCATGGTGACTTTTTTTTGGTGGTGACTACTATTGATAGCCAGGTATATCTGTGTCCCAAGGTATATCTGTGTCCCAAATTTAGTAACTTCAGGTGAAATGCCCCAGATACTTCATGAAAAAAGGATGGATGCAAAAAGAATATGTTAGGCCAATAGATGAAGTACAAATGTATTGTCCTTTCTAGCAGTACTAGAAGGGAACTATTAAAACGGGTTGTATATAAATATCTAACTTGCTGATGAGTCATCGACATCGCTGCATAACATTGCTGCATATGTATGTATCAAATATACACACATCAACCACAACAGTCTAAACAACAACAACACACAAGTTTAAATAGTTTATATTTTTATTTTTCATTGTATTTATAAAATATGATATGTATTTGAATGGATGGATGAAGTTATACTTCACATGAATAATGGACAGAACATACATACATATAGTGATAATGCTTTATCAGAAATGATGAATTATAAAAACACGTTTATTCACACGTTATTAATAGGTATGGTAGCCATACCTATAACATTGAGATCAATCTTAGCTGTACATCTTAACTTGACATGTATTTACAATTAAACATACATTATATACATTGAAATGGCAGTATTTATTTTCCTATATTTGTAAAACATATTTCAATCTCGTTGAAAATGCAATATTTTTAACAAGAAACATATAAAAATGTTATTCAATCATTAAAATGCAGCTTTTAAAACTTTATAACAACATCTTGGAATGTTGATTTTTAAAAATTTATTTTGATTATAAATATTTTTTTTTATTATGATAACAGTTGTATAATTTCATTGTATGGTATGTTTTAAGTTTGACCATAAAAGTTAAAACTTATATTCAATAAAACCCTGTTTCATTATATGTTTTTAATTATTTATACAGGAACATATGGTATCACAGTCGATGTACAATATCAGTCTAATATCAACACTACATCAGTATGTACACAGCACTTTGACCGTGGTGGTAGGGGACTAATGGGTACCTTGTTATTGCTCAACAGTGTTTGAAAATTCTCCTCTTATCATTATGATCAAATTAAAAAAATCTAAATTTGACAATGATACAAAATACATGGTTATACCATACAGGAATTACCAAATGTTTTCAAATTTAACAAAAAAAAATAAAACCTTTTTGGAAAGAATGGGATAATTCTTTACGTTGTAGAATTAAAAACACATATCAACAAAAACAAGTGTATTCATACTGATTATTATATATAGTTAACAAAACCAGTAACAACTAACAATGTGACTAGCTCAATCTGTAATCTTCTCAATTGTTTCTCCAAATGACAGATATTTCCTTATATATATATAAAATTTTCCTTTAAGGAAACTGATTGTTTACTAATACGTATAACATTGTACATATGGTTATGTACCTTTATTAGTCGCCTTTTGGCTGTAGAAGTCCCTACTGGTCTTTGAGACAGTTATTGTTCTTGACAATATGTCATCATATAGCAGCACTAGAAAATGGCAGTGGATAGCTGAGGAAAAGTCCTCCAAAAACAACAAAAACAACAACAAGCAGTCTCTTTGTCCCATAAACAAACGTCGGTAAAAACAACGAGGATGCTACCAACACAGGTACTAACAACGTCTCTGCTGAAATTGGCCGAGATAATGGTGGCATTTTTCACAATATTGTCCACCATTCTGTGCCCCATGTTTGCCACAAAGACTACACGAAACTTCTCCCGGAGCAATTTCTGTCGGGGAGTCCACACTGTCATCATCATCATCATCCAGTTCGTTGTCTGAATACGACCTAACGGTTGTATCATATCGCTCCTCCTGGTCACTCACATAGCCCGAATTATTGTCATTATAGCCAGGAGCTCCCTCTGGTGGAGCAAACATGTCCATCAGGTCCACTAAAGCAACATTGTCATTAAACGTCACAGACTTCTTCATTCTATTGACTTTATTTTTCTGTTTGTTACGGGATAACACAGATTTTGGCTTCACATCCAAAGTCCTAAAATCTGATTCAGATTTACTACGTTGGCGCCCTAAATTTCCGGAGGGAGGGAGTTGGGCATTGTCCTGTTGGTGATCCCTAGAATTGGAACATGATGTTCCATTAGATCGGCTGCCTTCAAACCGGGAAGCTAGGTCTCTAACACTGACACTGGGTCGGAACTCCTCCGGTTCTGAGCAGCCCTCGTCAGCGTTTGTACACTGTGTCGTCGTCGCTGACTGACGTGAAGTAATCTGGTTCTCACCGTAATGTTCTCCACATCCCTGCCGATGGTCCTAAAAACACAAAAAGGTCGACATAAACTTTCTGTTTCACTTTGAATCTTTTGTAAAACATTGAAGGCTTGATGTTAATCTCAACATATTAGAATTTAAAACTTCTCAGTTTTAATTTCAAATCAGCATTCTTTTAATTCTGACTACTACATACAGGTAAGTCAATGTATGACCAACGAACTAGGTATGCATGAAGATGGATCTTAGATGGAAATCACGTATTTCAAAATTTCTCACATAGAGTGATTCAGAGAAGAGGAACTCAGAAGCAAGTTTTAAGCTGCATATATCAAGCAGAAAGATGATTATCTCTAGTGTGTAATTGTTCACACCTTCAGTGGTATACCCACGCTACATTACCTGTCAATTCTTCAGCTCTGATAACACACAGGCTAAAGCACTACATTAAAACCCTCGATTCCCATAAAAGCTATAAACCCCAAACTTTCTTTCAACAAAAGTAATTGTTATGTTACAAATCTTTTCAAACTTGTAAATTATTTAACAATAACATTGTAGTTTTACACCTGAAACACTTTAATCGTGTTTTTGACCTAAACTCTGAATATCCCATAGCTCGGTGTCAACAATGCCTAGTCATTCTTCCGATAATTTTACCCAAGACATGTTTGCTCTGCATCACTACCTCCTGATCAGTGAACCATGGCTTTATGAAAGTTAGTGAATTAATCAATGTAGTTTGGTTAACGAACCAAAGTGATGGAAAAGGTAAAACAAGTTATTTGTTCTCACAGTTTACAGGTAGATAAAGCAACTACAGGTGACTCATAAGAAAGTGGTTTACTGCCATGACTGGTTCTACTTGTGAATTACTCTATTGTACTCCAGTGCAAATGTCGCGGGTGACCAATAGTCCACTGATGACGGTCAATCAGCACAATGGCCAGTCCTCTATAAACAGGCCCAGTCCGACTAATGGGTTCTAGATCAACATCAAATACTCCAGAACAGTAAAGTCACCAGAATAAAATCTGCGACCAATAAACGAAAATTCTATTTTAATTCCAAAACTCAGACATCAGTTTTTCCAAACCTATTCCATTTTCAGGTTTCCATGTCATGTAATGAAATCTTGTATGAGTTTGATGTGCTAGATGCTTTACTTGCTTTTTTTGCATTTCATTGAGAATTTTGTACTTACAGGTGTGTGAGAGATTGTGGAGGGAACTTGTTCACGGGTGAATCCAGCGCTTTGTGCCTCAGTGTTAGAGCAGTCTGTCACACAGGGAAAGAAACACAGGTAAAGCTTATTACAGGGCAGTAAATATATAGATATATATAGAAGCATATACAGGCAGGCTAAACACACAGTAATACTAAGGTGCTAGCCCCTCACCTCAGATAACCCATACATTCGTTGTCCCAGGAATTGCATTATTCCTTACGTTCCCCAAAATGGCATTGAAGAAAATTATTTTAATTTATTACATTTTTTTTAATTCAATTCCTGTGACAACATGCAACATACATGTAAATATGAACTCTAATTCAATTAAATTAACAACCTATTTAAAAAGTAGGGTGCTTAAGTTAATATCTGTACATGCAATATTTTCTAACTTTGCTGCTACTCAGAAATGGTTAGGTGATTTGCTACATCATGTACTGCTCCCCAGAGTACAGAATCAGGAGTGTGAGAAAATCACACAAAAATCCAACCAAAACGGTGTTAATGAAAATCAATAGAAAATTCATAAAAAAATCACACTTGTTTGTGTTCATATTTTTTATATATAAATGTTTTTGAATTAACTGAACAACTGATCTTATTACAATTCTAAACAATGCCGAAGTTTTCCTGATTCTCACCAGATAATACTACTGTTTTGGAATGTCCTACAATGACATGCTCTCCCTTTCATGACTGTGAGTAAGCACTATGACATAGGCCTAAGACCTTTATTATCACAAAATCTCATTAACAAAGTATACACCCCTCCAGTTCAAAATCTAGGATGTTTTTACTAAAACACAAAAAGATAAGTCCATTAGGCTTTAAGGAAGACTTTACTATGTGACTGTAATTCCTACATGAACAGAACTATAGCTGGTTTGCCCCTGGGTAACTTGCAATAATACATATGTATAAATATTCCGTATAATATAGGTGGCTGGCTGACAATGTTTATACCGGAGGCTTTTAAAAACTCTTGAGATTTAATCAGTACTGGTGGATTATCACACGAGAACTGTCGGTGTACTGTTGTAAAATACATACCTGGAGGAGGTTGTGTATAAACACACCATTGTTTCTTGTTTTAAAGGTAAACATGATATCAGCCAGCCTACATTGAATACAGCACTAAGACAAGCACTGCCTCCCTCACCTGGCCTACTTGATCATTTAAAGGACTACATCTGTACAAATATGTCCTTGAAGATTTCCACCAATGACATAATGTTATTGTCCCAATAGAGTTAAATCTAAAATCATTCCCAGGCCTACTTGTACCAATTACATTTAGCCTAATTCAATGTTGTATCAATGTTTTAAATTTAGATTTTAGATGCAGATTTACAATTTTAATGGCAGAGGTAATTATTCTGATAACAATAATTCTATGTTTTCGTCTATGGCGTGTTGAACTACTTATATGATTTCATGCTTGGCAATGGCTTGTTGAATTACAATTTTGGTCTAATGCAGTTAAAGGTTAAAGCCATTTGATCTGCCATATATTTGATCTAATGACTATTTTTTTTATTGATTTTTTAGTATTACATTTAAGTTCACAGTTATGTAAACTGACACTGTTGTGTATTCTATACGAGTATGAATGTTTCCAAATGTTATGACAAGACTATTGAAAAATTAACTGCTTGTAAATTACATATCAAACCCTTAGGTCTTCAAACTAATAATTTTTCATCTTTTATCAATTACATTAGTGCCAAAAGTTGTCAAGAATTTATTTGACTCTGTGTTTGTCATATCTTTTATGCTGCCATCAATTATTGGATGGTCAAGGAACTCAAACAACTGGTTTAACTTATACTGGCCAGGAGGGAGGCAGGACGCACAAGCTTACAGACAGGAAAAGGTTAGTACCTGTGAGGTTACAATGTGGAGAGGAATTGTCCACTAGACGCTGCTGAGGCTGAAGGTTGCACTGTGGGTTGGCCATGGAGACTGTTGACTGGTGGGAGCGCCCTTGTCCAGACTGTTGCTGGGTGTTGCCTGTGAAGCTCGATTGACGAGCTACACTATTTTGTTTGGACTTATTCTTTACTGACCGTGGAGTTGAATGTGATGTTGATCTCACCCATTTCATCATCCCTTCGACAGGGCGAGGACTGGCCTCCCGTGAGCCTAGGTCTGATGTAGACTTGGCAGACTGGGTGACCAGATTGGTGGCTTTTCCTGGCTTTGGTGGCAGCACAGGGTTAGCTGATGTTATTTGCTGAGAGGGTGCACTTGTTTTACAAACCTCATGCTGATGCTGTGTAGGATGAGCTGACTGGGGGTGAGGGTATGATTGCTGAGAGTCCTGATGCCGTGATGATGTGTATCCTGAGGGGTAATACCCCTGGGGGTTGTAGGAACCAGAACCATTGTTGTTATGAGGAAGCTGCCTTATTTCTGCTCGGTTTGCCTTGACTTGCTGCTGAGAGGGAACTTGCATCTTGTAATGGAGGTCGTTTCCGTCTGTGAGACTGGAGTCCGTATCAAAACAGCTATCATTAGGTGTCGGTGTTATGGATCCAGAGGAAGCTGTCCTCCCATTAGGATTTCCGTTACCATTCACGGACCTTTGCTTGTTTAGAAAGTCTTTGTATACCTCTGATTCTGAATTGGATGAAACAGAACCCTTCTGACTCCGCCGTGTCCCCTTGCGGGGTAGCGTTGCATACATATCTGCAGTCGGATCACTCTCATACTGATTATAAGAAGTCCTTTCATTAGAATTAAGACTAGAATTGGAAGTTGATTCACTACAAGGTTTTTCGGGTTTAACAATAGTCCTGTTTTCCTTGCGGTAGTTTTTATTTTCTATCACACTATCTACAGAGTCTCGAGAACTAGAGCGTGAGTGGATACTGTTTTGTTGCAGTTTTGAGATTAGCACATTTTGTTGAACACAATTTTCCCCGTAAGAGTGGGATGACGAACTGGAATGATCAGATGAGACACTGAAATAGTAGAAAATATTGGTTATTTAGAGAGGAGCTGGGTCAATTAATCAGTTATCATATACTGGGGTAGACATGTTAAAATCAGACACAGTTTTTCAGTTGTTTCTTTTCCTTGTTGCTGATATTTCTGACATTGCACCTTGTTAAAATCTAAAATCTACATGTATATACAATTAATCTAATATTTCACCAGGTGTAAGATTGTGACCAATCGCAACCATTGTTTCAGATTGATGGAAAGTCAGTTGTAATATGTCTCAAAGAAATAATCTTATTGTTAATATAGAATGAAAGAAGTTAATGAAAAAATGTTGTTGTTGTTTTTGACTCATGTTAGAGGCTGTGGTTGGAGAATCAAGTCAATACCTTATTGGACAGGGAGATGAACGTGCACTGTCAGAACTTGTGGTGGATGACATAGATTCCTGTCGAACCAAGAATTTCTTCTGGAGACTGCGTGACTTGAGGACACACGAGTTGTGCATCTTCTGTGCGGACACAAAGGACTGCTGGGATAAGGAGTTGATGCGCATCGCCTGCTTCAGACAGTCTACAAGGAAATAAATATCAGGTAAATAACAAATCTCAGTAAAATAACAGGTCTGTTTGATAGTGTTTCATTATAAACAGTATGTATATGTGATTCACCCAGGCATGGTTGCACAGGGTAACTTGTAGTCATAAAGACATATAGCACAATGCTAACTTGTCAAGTTCCTCTGTTATTTCATATAAAGACACTTAGCATGTACCAATTTTGTTTGAAGGAGGATACAACCGAGATGCAGCTATTATCTTTTAAGAACCCATGTGACTGGTGACACAGATGTCACTGTCCGTGACATGTGATGAGACAACATCCTACCTATGGCGGCGTTACAGTAGTTGAGAGCCATGGAGCCATTCTCTGATGTCTCCACCAAAACACACTGGTCCATTAACTCTTCAGCTTTTTGGCAGAATTTCATATACTCGTCTGCTCCTGTGTGGGATAAATAAATATCAAGATTAACACCAACAATCATTTTTATTAAACTATTTTTTCAGGTTTTGCTTGGTAAATTTTTTATTGTGTTTTTACAACAATTCTTTTCAGAATCAGCACATTTAACACTCTGCCCTAGAAGAATTTATCAGAGTCTATACACTAAGGCAATCTACCATAACTTAAGTATGATATTGATGAAAGGATAAGAAGGACATGGTACCTTCATGATACATGGAAGGCTTTTCCGACTTCTGGTTAGGGACTCTGCCAAACCCCTCTGGGCCAGACTTGTTTCCTGGTGCAGACTTTACCTCCTGAGGCATCATTTTCTGGGTCACAGGGTACACTTGGTTACCTGAAGATCAAACAGAGGTCAAATGATATTTCAATAAACAAACAAATAACTGTTAACTCAACTGAATACACTGTATTGGGTTAATATTGGATTCTATAAATAGAAATGTATATTTATATAAATAAATTCATCTTACTCAAGATACGAAGGTATTTGCTCTATCAGATTTGTTCATCTGTGCGTTCCTGTTAATGGGAACCTTTGAGTATGGTCTATTACACCCTACAATAGTGCCAATTAACCCTGCTTCATCAGCCAAGCACAGTTTTATGTACTGGACTTACAGGCATATACAACCTGTTTATCTTCTTTGAGGTTCAGTGTAGAAAACTACTGATTGTTGTCGACATGAATTAGTTAGGAGACACGAGTTCACTGGGGACTGTGTATTTAGTATATATACAATAACCTCAGTAATGCTTTTGATGCAGAGGCTGTTTAAAGGTTTAGTACCACATTACCTGTTATAGGTAGTCAACCAATTAGCGACAGCTTAAAATTACAATACACCTATCCTTAAATATTCATGGTCTAGACAGCCCACTTATATAGAGGGCAAATCTTCCACCACTAATCAATATTATTCCATGTTCAGAAAGAATATGGTATTTGATACATTTCTTCTGATAATAATATACCAATAACACATGTTAAATTAATGAAAGTAGCTACAACTCATTTATTAGGTAAAACAATGTATGGTATCTTATATGGTCTCTTGGCTATTTAAAAAGCTAAACAACTCCTTACCTTTTCCCTGGGTGTGGGACTTGACGATGGCCGGATCATACAGCGGTTTTCTCTCCACATTCTGGTCAGTAGGTTGGACTGACATGTGACTGTTGTCCACGACTGGGTACAGAGATTTTCCTGTCTCTACACCTGTTTTGGAGTGGCCATAGTTAAGATCTGGGTTGTACTTATCATCAGGAGGAGGGTACTGTTGACCAGTCTGCTGGACAGTGGCCTGACTTCCATGCTGTACAGACCCAACAGTGTAGGTAGTAGGGCCATAATTCCTGTCTCCCTCATACCCATGGTTGATGAACTTCTTCAAATTCTCAGCCACGCCATGTGGGTTGATATTTTTAGGTGGAATCATGCTCTTACTCATGAAGTACTGTGCGTAGGGGTCAAGGGTTGTACTCCCTGTGGAACTGGAGCTGTTCCTGTCACTGCTGCCATACCCAGAGTCTCGTTGGGCCGAATCTAGGGACAGCGTGTCAAACAGGATCTCAGTGGTGCTGTCTTTGTGACTCCTCACACTTGAATTGTCTGAGTCGAAACTGGTATTGCTACTTTGACTGACACTGCTGATATTGGAGCCCTGCCTCGTCAGTTTCTGGCTTTGATAATGTAGCACACTCTCCACCATGTTCCTGTTGATATAGTTTATTTTGTCCTCCCTGTTGTCCCGGAGCTCAGACTTTCGTGTAGGAGGAGGTGGAGGATTGGGGGTCTTCTTCTGAGATACAGTTGGCTTCTTTTCTGGTTTGGCAGGTTTAGGCGGCTTGTTGATAGGAACACTTGGTTTTGTCTGCTCCTTCCTAGAGTGACTGTCTGGAGGTGACTGACTACTTGGTTTATCAGCGTGGGTATTTCCCTGCTGCTGTGATGCCGAGCTCATTGCTTCCGAAATTTGACTAACCATCGAGCTCTGTCTAGAGTGCCGGTCATCTGTCAAAGTATGAGTTGAACTTTCTCGACTATGGGCAGATTGCCCACTAACAGAGTTCTGCCTGGAGTGGAAGACTCTATCCATCTGTCCAGGTTGGGCCTGAGTACCCTGTCGGTTGTGTAGTGAGGGACGTGAAGCTTTGTCCCCCTGTGGCATCTGTTGGGCTGACTTGCCTTTCTTGTTTCTAGGAAGTGTAGCAAGGCCTGACTGTACAGGAGTGTGGGCAATGTTTTCTATGTTTTCATAGTTGTGTCCTGCGCTAGGTTTGGGTTTCATGACAACATGTTGGCGCATATCTATATGGTCGGCAGAGAGATTTTGAGGAGCATCTTCATGACAAATGGACCGTGTTCGTCTATGTTTAGGAGGGAGGACTGGAGCTGCTGACTGGTTGGAGCCAGGTTTGGAGTTTGCTGGGCTGTGATCACTGTGTCCAACTGAGTCAGAGTCTGAGGAAGTGGAGGAGGTGCGGGGAACCTGGTACCTAATCACATCAACAGGAACCTTATCCTTGCCTTTCTTGAAGCTATCCTTCCTGGGTGGTACCTCCCCACGGGAGAAGTTAGGGGTCAGTGGCTTGCCAGTGTGATCGGGACTGCTGATGGATGGACGACGGTATTGGTCCCGTGTGGATAGGGTATAGTTGTAGTCATCTACTGAATCCTCTGGTCTTGGCAACTGTAGGTCACTGGGTCGATGCTTTCTCCCTGAACTTCTCTGCTCAGAAGCTGATGTTTGACCTTGACCTCCGGGAAGACGATGCTTTACAGCAGTGTTGTTCATAGGAACGGCATACTCTGATTTATTCTGCTCCGCTGCTCGCCCAGTCTTTCCTGTGACTGCGATGAGGAAGCTGTGTTGGCGATGGTGCTCTACCTGTTTTTTGGTAACACCAGGTTCTGTGTCGGAGGAGATAGGCTCTGCAGCATTTGGAGGGTTGGGCGTTGTTGAGCGTCTGCTATTTGCGACCGCAGCCCTGGGTCCGTCAGGATTGGGCGTTATAGACCGTCTCACTCCATCATGCCGACACTCTGTTTTTTTCTCAGCAGGAACTGAATTATAAAAAGAGAAATAGTTAAAAACAAGTGAACCTGAAATTGATGAGTTTTTGAATTAGTTTGAATAATAATGACCATATTTGATAAAACCTTGTCACAACTGTTGATGTTTCTAACATCAATGACCAATCACACAGTATCACTAGACCAATAAAACACAATTTCAGATCTTAAATCCTACAAAATTTTGAATACTACTCTTGATGTGACTTTCAACCACAATAATGTTTGATATCAAAACTTAACGCTTCAGCACACAATGATTTAATTACACGAGATACTGATACCATCACTATTGTAAGCCTGTTTTCATATCCAGTAACTAGCATCTGGTCCTTTGTAGTTGTGTTACATCATCATATCAACAGCACAACCACTTCTTCACTTTAGTGAAACGGTACTATTCCCTATGCCATTAAGGCAGTTAATATCCATTTCTGCTATTATCTAAACTCTCCTAGATTTAATGAAATAAACCCGGACTCCCTCACTGCCCCCCAAAAAATATCTTTAATATAAAATGCAAAATGTCATCCACCTGGTTAGGAGAAAAAAATGATATTTTCTTTGTAAGCAATGTTAATTTATCTGCTGACATTTATTCAATTAGTTTCAAAACAGTTTTCTTTTCTTTTTTTAAATTTCCACTACTTTGATATTTTGCCTTTAAAATAAATGCCCTGTTGCCGGGGCCCCATGTTAGGTTATATCAGGTAAGGCGTGTTTCATGATGAAAGAGCTGTCACGCTTGTCACCTGAGCTGGCAGAAGTCATTAAGTGGCTAGCATTTTAAACAGGTTCTAGGCTACAAATGGATAACTAAAACTACGCGTAAATCATTTCAATTGCCTAAGTTACAACGATTTTAAAAACAGACATTGCTCTCTCAGAAATGTAAGATAAAATATTTACAAAAATCATCCTCAGTTTCATTTAAAGCAGAAAATCATATTTATTTTTTTCCTTGACAGACAAAAAAAGTTTACAATGGAATAATATGTATACAGGTATTAACTATTAATCCATTAGTAATTCACAGAAATGAAGGTAATCATTTTTAATCAAATAAAGAGTTTTGGGTACATTTACAAATAATGAATTTGAACTGCTGGATCATAGCTGTTCTTAAAGAAGTCATCAGGTTTTTGCCAACAAACTTTTGAGTTGGATGACAAATGTGCCAGACATTTTAACAAACTGATGACCACCCTTTCTGAAACTAATCCAATTGGCTTAGGGTAAAAAGATTAATTCTTGATGGCCTGATATGTTACCAATGTATACAAACCCTTAAACTCTACCCGGATTGTTAACCCTCGTTCACGCCAACACAGACACATTACCCAACATAAACATATCTTTTGACAAACTTCCAAAAGATTTTCATTCCTCTATAGAAATATTGATAAAAAGATTATAGGTATTCATAACCGAGAGAATTATAAGTACAACAAAAGATCTATTATTGTATGAACATATATTTTTTTATCAAATCTTAAAACTATTTCTGCTTAAATCATCCTAACAAAACGTGTTCACAGAGCTGTGACAGCCTTTGGTCTTCTCTAGTACACCTAGCAATTAAAGTATCCGTCACGAGGGAGAACTGGGTTGGAGATTAAAAGACAAACCTTTTACAGGGGTGGAAAATCCAGGGGCCATGACCCTCTTTTTCGGGGCTGTTTCTGTGGCTATGGGGCTCGCATTAGGGTTGGTATACAACAACAGCAATGGCTGGTAATGGCCCTTACAACATTTCTCAACAACATCGTCCCAACTGGGTCCCACCTGATCACAAAAATAAAATCAGAATATTACTTCTACAGTATTACTTCAAGCACGTGACAATGACCACAAATATTTATAGAATGTTAATATAGGTGTGTCATCGTGAACTAATTAATGTATCTACATATATGTACGTATTGTGACCATTACGTTAAATCATTCACACACACGCACCACTAGTCATCCTGGTCTTTAATGAACCTCAATATATCCTGGCGTTTTCATTCCAAAGCCAGTGTGTCATCTATAGATGTATGACAGATATCTATAATGATCACCGATCAATATATACACCGTTACATGTATCAAATATAGACATGTTTATGATGTGTAATAAACATCCCTTTGGAATGAATCTGTACAGGTAGTGCAGACTGCATTTAAACATAATAATGCATATATATTAACATAATAATACATATATATTAACTTCCAAATATAGGGAACTTGTGGCTTTTTTTATGCACTCTGTATCTGATTCAGGTACAATTAATTTTATAACCAAATATATAAACTAATTTTATCTAGCCATTTGTCACTCCAGACTAGGTGACTTTGATCCTTCTAAGCTTTTCGAATATATAAGCTGTAATTTAGATTATTTGTTTTTCACTTGATAAACAAAGTTTTGTTTGCTTCTGTACACTTCTTTAGTACACAACACTTTAAAAATATCATCAGGAATCCTAAAAATATCATCAGGAATCCTAAAAGGTATCAAGACATCTGTAGAACTGTGAAGTCATTGTTGTGTTAGGACCTGATCTTCACATCTCAGTTACAAAACATCCAACATCTGAATACTCTAAACCTAGATAACACAAGTCTTCTCCCTACTAATACGTGTCTGTGTAGGTCGTAAGGAAGACAGATAGGATTCAAATTTTTGTTCACATTTCTTAGCAGAATGGTTCCTTGTTTATGTTTGTCTGACCTTAAGCTTGTGTAACTTCAAACAAAATAGTATCTGTTACACCAGTAATTGTTTTCTTATGCTGTATCTAAATTTCAAAATCTTGTAATGTTTTCTTATCTCAAAAATCTTGTCATGTCATGTTGTACTTACCTGGATGTTTTTACAATAAACACTTAACACTACACTGAAAGAAATCCTCTAATGTTTTAACCTATGCGATATTCCCAGGTCTACTTGTGATGCCTGAGAACTTTCTGTATATTTTATAAATATTGTATAAGCCAATAGTGTGTTGATGTATTGGCCAATTAACCTCAGAAAAAGAAAGTAACTGCAAAATTCTTTGATCCAACAGACCAAACATTCATTTTTCAATTCACTTTTTCAAGATCTCTAAATTGATAAAAGCAGCAGAACCTGTTTTTATTTCAAGATCTCCAAATTGATGAAAGCTGATGAAACCTGTTTTTAAGATTTGTTGCTAAGCCAATATTTCTTAACATATAAAATACCATATCAGTCCCAACCTGTCTTTAAGAAGCAGACAAGATAGAAAACCCTTCAGAGATCATCTAACAGACATGTAATCACACATGCAGATGTGTGTAATTCTCTGTTTAATTAGAACGCTCCAGTCACTGTACACCTGGATATTAAAAGCAGGTATGGGAAAAGCTCCCTTATTAAGTATGGATACAGGTAAAAGTAGCTGGGCAAATCCGACCCAACATGGATTGTGTAATCTAGCCACGTCCGCCTGATCAAGCCTCTTTGTGAGGTGTTTGATGGAGTGAGTACAATCAGTTGATTCATTTGCATATCATTCCTTCACGTGATTGATTTGTTAACAGACATGCATTCTAACTGAGTTTGGTGAGATCAGGTGTGCATGTGCCTATCAAGGTCTTTGTGTGCTGTCTGCTCTTGTGCATGTCTCATTATGTTGTGTACGGGGGAATTAGTGACAATTACCTGTTCTGTACTGTGTGCAAAAACACACGAGCAGCTGTATGCTGCCTTTACTTGTTACAATAAATGCCAGAAAATTGTGAAGGCATTTTTTTACGTTTGTATAATTCTTCTTATACAAATATACGTCTTTTTGGGGGGTTTAGGTCTTATTTAAACACTAATGGACAATTAATTTACATGAAAGTATACAATGAACAGTATAATCACAAGTTTCAGACACATGTTAGATAATCTAAAGTATGGAATTTCTTACCTGTCGTACTGTAGCATCATCAAAATAGATCCAAGCATTCAGCTTAGTGTGGAAGACAAAGGTGGAATAATGCTTTCCATAGTAACAGACAAGGGCAGACAACTGTAGTTTAGGCAACTTGGAAACATCCTTCATTCCTTTGACCATAACTGAGTGAAACACCTGAAAAAGAATAGCTAAACTTTAAAAGAAATTCTTCCAAAGACAAAAATATTTTTCTGGTATTTTTCAATTTATTAAAAAATCAGAGCATTATTAAATATTCCAGCTACAGAATGAGATAACTTACATCTTGAAGGAGTATGGTAGTGCCAATACTCTGGACCACGTCACTGATCATGTCTGTGTTAGGCCTGTCTGTCTCCCAAACTAGACCGATGCTCACTGTTAAAGAAAAAGAGTAATATTTACAATATATTTTAACATACACTTTCATCATTGTCAGTATCATATATTTTCCTAATGTCCTGTTATCAAGAAATGTTTTAACAAAAAAGAGCATTCAAATACAGTAACAACTTACCAACATCAGGACAATTCAGCAAAGTTCTTCTGATCTGAACTCGCTTGCCACAGGAATTCTGAAAACCAAAATGTTTCATTGAGGATTTTTTCATTTTTTTTCTCCACAAACCTTCATGGGGTCTGAATCATTGGCTAATTCTATTAACAGGTTTACTCCTAATTGTATATTTTATTTTCTATGACAGGTTTGGACACTACATACCACACAAATAAAATTAATTTACTGTACCAACATTACAATGAACAATGCACATATAATCTGAATGTAAAACAAATAAAAATCAGATAAGTAAATGAAAGGCATGTACAGTATCTTTTTTTATTTCTTAACATTAAAGAAGTTTATTTTTGAACATTTATCTTACCGGGCAGTCACGAATATCACCAACAGCACCTGCGTTCCTTAGCAACAGGCCAAATCTGTCGGGATGCAGGATATCACCTGTTTCATGCATTGATCTGCACTGGGACCTGTTAATGCAAGGCAGACCGGCAGGTTATTTACAGGTTATTTACATGTCAGTAATTAAATGCTGCAGCAGATAACTGCATCTGTGATAGACTTTAATTGTTGTCCATAGCAGACAAACGATTTGTAACAATGGCACATGGGTTTTTATTTTATTGCGAATCTGCAAACAGATGAAATCCTTTTATATCTTTTCCATTGCATTCAAATGCAAATTAAGGAATAAAGTTGTCTGTTATCATCTGTGCTTCATCGGGATCAGGCAGGTTATGGGTTTTAATCATGTTTGAGGTGTAATTAATGTGTAGGCAGGGTAAGGTGGCCAATGAGTGGTGGCCTGCTACATGTGTTGCTGTAGCTACATAACAGGTAATCTGACAACAGAACTTACACTAATGCACTTGTGGATATATAGTGCACCAATTCATGGAAGGTTAAAGGGTCCGAGCTTGCACCGCAAATACACACAATCTGAAATAGGATTATAAAAACAAAATTTCAATTTCACTGAAAACTCGCTATTCAATTTCAGTTTATATGCTGTCAAAATGTTATTGGATTTCGTTTGATGTATTTTCAGATGACAACAGGTCAAAACCCCGTTTCACTCAAATAGTGTAAACATTCCTTCAATGTATTAGATATGGTTTGTTTCATATATATAATAGTCTTGTGGATCAACCCATTACATATGAAAGGTTCCCCAAGAATGATATAATGCTAGACTTGAGCAGATCGCGTGAGACTGAAAAGATACCATCATTTATTCTCCTGACTTGACGATGCTACCTGCCATTGGTTGGCTTTTATCTGTATCAATAAACTATAAATACAGTAAAACAATCTGTGGCAGGCCACAAATCAATACAACACGGGAGGCTATTCCACCAATTTATTTTTCTCTGATCAGGATAACCATCGAGCAGGAAGTTCAAACTTGTTTAGACGATGTTTACCTGATCGAAAACGGTCATGGCAAATTTCTGGTGGGGCAAGCAGTGGGGGGCCTGACATGCATCCTCGCTGTAGGCGTTTGCGATGTGGAAGTGAATGCGCCGTAAGATATTCTCCTGTAAAGTAATAACAATAGGGGTTAGCGGTTACTCGTTTGTATCTGAGCAATGATAGCCTGTTTATTGCCTATCCTGACCTAGGAATACTATGATGAGCAACATGTACATAACTTGATTTATTATCAGATGTACACCAGAGGCAATCCTAATGCAGAAACGGTCTCATGCATACAACTATCACCTCATCTTTACCTCATTCAAAATCTGAATTGTAAATTAGTTTTTCTCTAGACAACTTTTGTTATGTTACTGTTTCTAAGTGTCTACAGCTGGTCTTCATTGAATCAACTTCTCTATAATATCTAAACAACATTGCAAATGTATAGGTATTCTTTATAGTATTAACCCATCGCTCACATCATATGTAGTATATTAAAAAACTAGATTCCTATGAGCTTTATCTTTATGTTAAATATCCTCTCCCTTTCAATTTTTTTGAAAAGAATTCCTCACAATCTACTCAACACACAGGCTTTATTATCTACTGTGATTCCCTGAGGGTATATCGTTTACGTCGTAGGAGTTTGAAGTAGTGTATCATTTTGTTTGGAGCAACATACAAAGCATTCAGCAGCATCGTCCATGTGTCCTAGCTGGAAGCGCTGCTGGTTGATGAAGGACTCGGCCAGAGCCTTACGTAGTGCATCAGGGGGTAGAGAGGCCTGGTCACTGTACTGGAACTGGGTAAATATCACCTGAAACAAATCCATACAGGTGTGAAGGTTTCATACAATCTTGTGATTATACTACAAAGCAATGGACACACCTGGGTCGGGCCTATCTACCTGGGTAATTATGTACTCTCATCTCTGGGTTTATCTACATCAGCCCATTATTCTGTATGTGTAAAGTACGCTGGGGTAAATAAATTTGAAGGATTTTAATTTGATAGTATTTACTACGAGTATCGAACACCTGACAATTCCCTGTCTCTATCACATGTAAATGTAAAAACCTGACTACATATCAAGGGGATCTCGGGTATGGGTGTTTAAAGTTGGTGTGTGACCACTTCAAAGCCAGACACCTGTGTGCCTTGATCACAAATGTAGAAACTCAATCCACAAGCACCCTTGGACTAAAGTCGTCTGGATTATAATTAAATTTCACAGTTTGTCTTTAGAAAGCCGAAAGTTCAACTCATTAAAATCCTAAATGAATGAGAGAATTAGAAGATTAAAGGTTACTAGCGTATTGTGTGTTAACTCTCAATCAGATATACTAACCAACCTATTAATAAAGAAATAGAATTCTATAAGGTTAACTACTTATGGTAGTATCAGTTTTAAAACTACTTAACAGAAGTCTTGGCCTGTCTTTTAAAAGTATGACTCATTCTTCCAATGTGCACTATACTTTGTGGTGACTGGCTTTACACACAAAGAACTATCGTGAGTAACTGCATACATATCACAACACCAAATCTAGTGACCACAAAGGTGGGCTGGGGATAAGGAGACCCAGGTTTAGGTACCGATGGCACGTGTCCCTCCAAAATAAAACAGACAAAGGGGCACTGACCATAAACTCCAACTCTACATCTCAATAAGGAAGATCAAAGGACAATTCATTTCAACTCGTGAATGGAGTCTTGTCCACTTTGATAAAAAAAAGACATTGAAATGACCTACACTCCAGTCATATCAGATCTGTAGAAGTTATTGGCATCCCCGGAATTGATGCTTAGATACACAAGCTTTGTACCTACACGTTAGCCACTTAGCCACGCACAAATTGGAAAGTTAATCTAATGTAAAAAATCATAAACCCATGAATGTTTATTGTGAGCCAATATAATCATAAACTGCACAAGAAATAAATCAAGACCAAAAATCGAAAAAATTAATTGAATCGTAAAGAAAACGTCTGGTAATTTGTGACACGTCCACGTTTACTATGGTATACTATTTTCACCCAACAGACAATGTTTTCATTTCTATTGACGCCAACATGTCAAGGGTAAACAGAGAGGTGTATTATTGTACGTAAAGGGCCGCCTCGTTGGAAAACAGTTGCAAATAAGGGCTCTGTTGACTGTCGTAACCATACGTTATCGGCAAGTCACAACAGGTCAGCTGATCTCAATAGATTTGAACAGTATAATACTGGTGCTTGTAGGTAGAGCCCTAAATCCAATTAAAAGTCTGAAAAGTGGTCAGGAATAATCTAAGCGTCACTCCATAACTACGTCAGGTTTACACTCCGCTCTTTTTTAAATGGGCTTGTAATGTGATATCTTCATTACCCCATTCGTTATACAAATACAGGGAAATTAAATTTCAATGATTTAAGTTTTGATTATTATACACGAATCATCATTTGAATATCATGTTCAAATGTACCTATTAATTTTTCTTTTTTTTTCTTTTTAATCATCAATTAATTAATTCTAAAATAAATTGAATAGCAAAACATACTTGGCCTGTACTTCGGATTAAAAACCAATGATACTGTTTAATTGTAGGTCAGTCTGTGGTTTTGTTCTCGTTGGTTTTGCGTTGAGACAGAAGCCACAGTTAAAACGCTTAGTCACATCAGCAATTAAAGTACCCTGCTAGTTGTTTGTTTGATACTTACAGGTAAAATTGAATTTATAAAATTATCTCAAGATTTTTTGGGTGACAAATAGGTAGATCAAGGAACAATTAAAAGACATTGTTCTTCTTCATCATAAGAGTATCTATGATTCTACAGATAAACAATTTAATAGAAACTCCTTATAGATCCATTTCAGCTTTAAGAAATTAACAAAAACGCAATTTAGATTTCTTTTAAAATATGAAACAAACATGATATGTTCTGTTTTTACCTACCTTGAGAGCACAAAATATACAGGAGTTGCCCATACACAGATGTCCTGTGAGGCGTCTGTAACTTCTCCGAAACACGTCCAAGTGCCAAAAAACCTGCAAGTAGAAAATCAAACAAACATTAACCCACAAAACATTAACAGGAACGTTAACAGTCTTACTAATGATATATTATCCGGATATGAATTGTGTGATATCGAAAATTCAGTCAGTAATTCACCTGTTCATACGATTATGCTTTAATAGACACCCTGTGATTTTTTTTCTATTTATTTATTTCTCTGAAAGATATGCCCATTTAATGTACAACATTTTAAATATATGCTATTGAACAGTGGTAATAGGTTATTATAGGTGACAAAAGTTGTCTGTCGAGTAAATCTGTCGCCGTGTCACATGTTGTTTGTTCCTGATGACCGAACGGTCTCCCTAATGCCATGGACATATAACATGTAGCCATTTTTTATGAAAGAACTGGTGCCTTAATGTCCGTTTAATTATACTGATTCCATCGCCTGACGAATTACGGCCGGACACATTGTGGTAAGCCTTTCCATCACTGCACCTACACAAAGCCAGGCGTCCATAATTGATGGCCCTGTCCAGCCCCGTACTGATCAGGTAGACAGGTAAACGACGCATTATAATTTCTACTCGCTATGAATCTAAAAGCCATGCTTGTCCGACTCTGCAGTAGGGAATCAATATCACAGTAAGTCATTGATTAGTTCCAGGACGGTTCCAACACCTGACAGGAGTATTAGCAACGTCTGCAACAAAGGCGGGAACGGAAAATTTCAATAGGGTTCGATACATGTATTTCCGTTGGTACACCCTGGATTACACTCCCAAGTTGGGATTTATTGAATCAGATTTGATTGATACCATGTTCAATCTGTTGTCATCTCCTGGTCGCAGTACAGTCACAGGATGAGGTAAACATGACTTAATTACAACGTCCCCGTTCCTATTGAAGAACACTAAAAGCACAGCGTAATGACATTTCACACCTGGACTCATTGAAACAATGCTAGATTGGAAACTCTTTATACATGTTCCATCTCATCATCAGGCAGATACCTACTTACACGGACAGAGTTTTATATTATAGCTGTATCGAAAATATGTGCATAGAGTAATTTCCCAAAACAGCAACACAATTTGTTTTAACATACATATTATTTAAAATTGTTAAGCATGAATTCCTTTTAGATATCATGTGTATGATTGGTACAAATTAACAGGGTTCTAAGATAAACACCCTCAAATAGCAACATGAAATGATTTTTGCCACAAATTATATATTCATGTTATTTCTACCATAATCAACTTACAACTTTAAGTGCAAACTCCATAGTATAATCTGATGCACCATACCCTGTTCCTGGTACCCTGAGCTTAGAACGTAAAATGAAGGGCTATTACTGTTGAACTAGGGATGTTAGTGATTATATTTAAATTTAAAAGAAACCTATTGAAATGACGGTTTCAAGGACAGAATGAAATCTGGGTCATGTTTTTGAAAATGAATTAGAAATTGTGTAAAGAACGACTTCCTGTGATTTGATTCGGCTCATTTTAGCCAAGCATCACTTATCGTAAATCCATACAGGTGTCATTGGGGGATAACACAATAGCCACTCCCACTCCCCTAATTTTAGACATAAAATACAGGGTCGCCGGAACATGTACCGTTAGTTTAAGACACCCATCACACTGACATCTGAACATATGTTTCCTTAGGTTTTTTTTGTCCTTTGAAATTCAAGCTTCCATTAGTAAAACCATCCAACTTTCTTTAAAACAATTTTCCTCCATATATTCAGTGTAAAAAGTAGTAGATTTCCCTTCTATGGCCCCCTTCCGGAGATTAAATCCATCTAAAAGAGGACAAGTACACAAGAACACAGTACTGGCAGGGACGGTTTGACAAGGGGCTAATATTAATGTGTAGACATGGGCGTTCATACAAGGTGACCGAGGAAATGGAAAATTGGCTACACTGATAAAAAAAAACTCAACTGAAACCTTGGTTAACAAGACCATGGTTCTATGGCGGGATATATCACGGGAAGTCAGCGTCACAACAAATCTAGATACCTGTAAAACCTGTAATTTCAAAGTTAATTAAATCAGGTGCTACATTTCAAGAGGGCTGAAATTTTAAACTATCCCTGATAAAGGCTCTTTATTTGGTATTTGATTCTTAATGTAAATGTGAAAAGTTTAATTAAAATATAATTAAGTTATTCCTTTTACTTTATTACATCCTGATCAGTATTACATTATTTCAGTTGTTCATTGTAATGATGAAGTAGAATTGTCCTTTACTCGACGAACAGATGTAATACACTGGAAAAAAAGAGCCATAAAACACAGATAGGGGGACTCAAGTGACAGGAAACACAAACCCTATTCACCAAACTGATTTAGAACAGGCCAATAAAGTCACTGTCCTTATCACATTCATGTCAAGGGTTTGAGTCTATATCCTAACAAGATGGTCGATAATCTGACCCCTGTCCAGTCTAGGGAGATACACGCTTTCATCTGGCTTCAAAATGTAGATTAAGTTGGAGGACCATATGTATTTTCCCTAGTGATGACTCTTCAATGACCAAGCATTGTCTCGTAAAAACCTGATAGGCTTTGTTATCTTCAACAGGTACTTCCCGTTATTCTACATTGTACATTGTCTTTTTCTCTTAACATTTTCTTTCTTCATTCCTTTATACCCACACATACTGTTTTCATTAAAAAAACATTTATGTATTATTCCAGGTGATAATTGAAGATTTAAATTTGAATCAAACTACGATCTGTTGATATAGACCAGGTGCCCAAAAACGCATTTTTATTTTTTTTAATTGGTGTTATAGTAACCCAAACTTAAATACCCAAGGACGTCTATATCCTAACGAGTGTACACCAAGGACGTCTATATCCTAACGAGTGTACACCAAGGACGTCTATATCCTAACGAGTGTACACCAAGGACGTCTATATCCTAACGAGTGTACACCAAGGACGTCTATATCCTAACGAGTGTACACCAAGGACGTCTATATCCTAACGAGTGTACACCAAGGACGTCTATATCCTAACGAGTGTACACCAAGGACGTCTATATCCTAACGAGTGTACACCAAGGACGTCTATATCCTAACGAGTGTACACCAAGGACGTCTATATCCTAACGAGTGTACACCAAGGACGTCTATATCCTAACGAGTGTACACCAAGGACGTCTATATCCTAACGAGTGTACACCAAGGACGTCTATATCCTAACGAGTGTACACCAAGGACGTCTATATCCTAACGAGTGTACACCAAGGACATCTATATCCGTTTCCTAACGAGTGTACACCAAGGACTCACAATCCTTCAATAAACATGATTACCATGTAGTGAAATTTATGTTTGCAATGATATATTGATCCACGTTAAACCTACTTACTATTTTAAACATTTATATGTATCAAACAGCATAAAAAAGGACATTATGAAAGAAATAGAAGCGGAAATGACAGCTATCAATCGATCGGTTCACACAAGTCTGTAAACGTTGGGTAGACAAATCGTCTGTGGTTGTTTATTTTAGTAGGCAGGCTTGTATTAAACGATCCTGGCACAAAATGCCCCAGCCTTAGGGGCGGCTGTCTACAGATCGAGGTTAAGGAGGGATCAGAATTAAAGTTTCTCACCTGGCTGCCAGCTAGTGTATTCTTATTACCTTGTTTATGTATGGGACATAACATGATAAAGCCACCTACATGTACCTATGGTATGTGTCATAACAGCAGGTGGATACAAAGTTGGGATCAAGTGGAAAGTACTTATTGATCTATGATTCCCAGGTTTTGCGTAACTTTTTCTCCAATGTGGTAGCAGGGTTTGTTGAACGTTCTTTTATTTCCCCAGAAAAATTACATGATATCGCTTAATAATTTACTTCAGTTTTTATATTCAAACAGATGATGATGCAGTATATTGTGAATTGAAACATCAGGTAGATAGCTAATAAATGATGTCCATAATGATAATTCTAAACCATAAAAGAAGACCAACAAAGGAAGATAACCCAGGTCAATATTTATTGGGCCAATCAGGCGGTTTATCAATCAGATTGTCTGGGATATACTAGACATAGTAATAACTTATCCTAATGTCCTCTCTTTTTGATCATCATTGTATTGTCCACTAATGGTCAGGTGGGACAACTAATGGTCAGTACAGGTTTGTAGTCTAGTGTGTAGGTCGTGTGTCCAGGGCGTATATGGCTGTAGGCGAGACTGTCCCAGGTATGAACATGACAGATAGATTGTTAAGCTTCAACTGTCCTCAGGCCTTGTTGTAAACCAGGGCTTCACAAGATTGATAGATGTTCACCATTTCTGCCCCAGATTCACGATCCAAACATGATCTACATCAAAGTTCTCTCCGATATGCTAGCAGCTATTTTCAGCAGTTCACAATAATTTTATAAAATGTTTCAGTTTCCTTTGCCTACTTTTGAATGTTTACAATTCCCACATTTATATTACATGTATTTCATCGAGCAGGGCTTGTGATATTTTCCACCTGTTTAATCATCGGATAAAAAACGGTTACCAGAGTGACACAATAAACAATGACAGTTTTCAAGCAATTAATATGAGTAATAAGGGCGGACCCTCTAACCAATCATTGATGATAAATCAATAACTTATGAGTGCATTGTTCTATCAACGTATTGGTCAATTTTACCTGTAATATCTATTCTTGGCCATTGGCATCATTCACTATTACATTGATCAGCTAGGAAACAAATAAAGCGGAGGCTGACAGCTGTTCTCTGGTCTTACCTGTCCTGTGTGGTTGGCCTGCGGTAGGACAGTTGTGTGGCTAAGCCAGGCTGGTAATTTATAACGACCAGGTATTGACGATAATGACAGCCAAACAAGCAAGATCAATAAGATCTTCATGTATCAACCTTGTCTGACTTTTAAATTTCCAACTTAAAAACTACAATTTTAGCAGTAAATTAAAAATTGGTAGCTACGTATACATCTCTTGTTTGACAGGAAGTGGCTACCCATGAATTATTGATCTTGGTCTTTGTATGTTTGACTATATTTTTTTAATTTGCAGTTTTTGTAACATGATAGTGTTGTAGTGCTGATCGTGATGATGGTGAGGAATCAGTAATTGTTACTGTAATGGAGAAGCTCGCCTCTTTGAATGTCATTTTGTCTAATGTCACCACGGGGATGGATTTCCTTGTGTTTCAGTGATGCCTTGTAAAGATTATAATATGTACAGCATTTCTTTAAGCTTTTGTCATATCCTTTACATTCAAAACATTATGCAACATAAGAATGGATCATTTGTACCTATGCTGATGAGTTACATTGCCAGGCAGTTGACAACATTGTGTTATTTACAAGCTGTTTTTGTAAGTAAATGGTAAAATTCCCATGGCAAACAGGAAAGCACTCTCCTGACATGGTGGTGTTGGTCCAATATTGGTGGTGTCACCGACCCTGACAGGGAAACAATGGACTGATGACAGAAACCTTACACACCTACAACAATGGCTGCCTGGAAATTAAACCCGAACCTACTACAGCAGAAAGACATCTACTTCACATTGAACTTGTTATATAAGTCTTTGCTGGTTGGCTGGGAGATTTTGACACATTTTGTATAGCTATCTTTCTTCCTGACCAGTTCCCCCTCAGGGGGTAACTTTAGTCTGTTATACAGAACTGGTGTGCCAACTAAAATCCCATCTATTACCTACTCAGGTGGAAAACCCAGATTTGCATACTACTATGACCTACCTGCCTATATTTTACCTGGGAGGAACTCTCAGGTGGGCATGTCTACATATAAGGTATACACCGGGACTCATTCTTACCTATCCCTGGTTTTATAACTACGTAGTATGTTGTGTTTCAGAAAACTTTCGTACAGATTTTGTCACTGTTGTGTTCTAATCATTACACACTTAAACTGTCCCTTACTGAATGGCTGACATATCTAACTACCTAAAGATCATGTCAAAGATAGAACACACCACACTAATATCAAACAAACAAAACAATGATAGCCTCATATATATTTATACATTCTTTCTTTTCATTGTACATAATTTCTTTGACTGCATAGTAAAAAACCTCATTGTGAACTTCACCTATCCTAGATACATTATTGTCATTCTTTCTTTACAAACAAACTTTACGGTTCCTGATCAATGTAGCAGTGACGTTACACCAATATGTGTATGTTGACAGCTGTAACACGATGTAGGAGTCACCATTTGTTGAAGTATCTCTCCCATTTTCAGAAGGAATATGCTGTATATACTGTATTGATTATGGTAATGTAGTCGCTAATGAGTTTGTGATTGTTGTGATATTACCAACAGCTGTTTTGGTGTCTGCTTATGATATCACTTTCTGCATAAGGACATCAGAACTGACATCACCAGAGCAAGATTCCAATGACTGATTGATATACATAAACATAGCTTCGAACCAAACATTTTAAGGATGTCAGTGTCACATATGTTGGGTCATGTTAAGCAAGAGCTTGTAAACTGACATGTATGACATGTATGACCGTCACCATGGTCCTAACCACAACTTGTCCTACTTTAAATGTGTCCAAATTAAAAAAAACATTAACCTGATTATACTTGAAAAATAAATCAATAAATTTACCAGTAAGTATATATATGAAAGACATGTCATGGGCAATATGAAATAATTTACTTCTCAAAAAACAACATGAACAAAAAACAGACAATTATCAGCTCATCTATGAATATTAAGCGTGTCGGCTACAAAGTAAACAATCCATGACACACATTGAGTTGTCTTTTGACTTGTGATTGATTTAGAGTACCTCTTTACTCATTATGTTAATTTAACAGGACGCTCAGGTGTTGAAATGTTCGAGCCTAATTTAAATCAATTTTCTTGTTTGGGCACACTTTATTCTTGACTGGCTTCAACAAGTCAGCAAACCTCAATACATAGCTTGATGTATGGGCATTTTAATTTTTCCAAAAAGTGTCACTAACAGTATGCTTAATAAACATTTGTTAGCGTCTCCAAAAGGATTTAACTCAGGTGGAAGAAATGATTGTTCCATGGAGCTGGTTTAGGTTTTTATCGTTTCGACTGACCAGATGGTTGTCTTGTTGTTGGACTCTGGAGGGTAAAAAGTGCTGACCGAGCGGTGAGGAGTAGCTAATGAATGTGTCATTGTTTGGGGGGGACACTGCTTTCAGGACACTCAATACCTGTGTTGGGTTCAGGTGTAAGATGATAGCGGTAACCCTCCACAAACTGGGACAATACAACAGTACCCTGACAATAGCACAGTCATGTCTGGTCACAAACAAGAGATTTGGACCAGGCATCAACAGGATTAACTGGGTGCATCTATAACTGCCAACTGAATCACTGGTCACAGCACTAGACCACCATCTCACAATAGCCCCATTCAGCACGCTCACACCATCTGCTGAAAGTTAACTTTTTCTCTACACCTCATTGGTCCAGCAGAGACTGGCCAGTGTCCACTTCAATCACAATGAATGTCTAAAATGAGTCGAGTCTTTCATTACGGACGGAATCATGAAAAAGTGTACAACAATAGTATAATGCACTGTCTAAACTCGGTGTTAAATCATGTTTTTACACCTGCCTGTTTGGCTTACCTGTCCTTTAGAAACGACCATAAGCCTTGGTCTCTATCAATAAAACCTAACACATACTGTTTGTCAATTCTTGTATGAGACTGCCATTATTCAATTCTACTCAACTATCCATGTTTTACTTAGGATTATGCTTCTTTGGTTTTAACCACTTAACAGACTTGTCCAGAGAAAAGCCGTGTCAACAGGTGGCTGTGTTTTGGCTGAACAAAACAAGATTTGTTTGTCGGTGGTCAAACAAATCACACTGACCAAGAGGTTGAGTACATAAACCGGTGCTGAACAAGCCTAACCTGAAGTTATCAGGAACCAGATATATAGGTTCAAACATACAACCTTATTTATAACTTTACATATCAAAACAGAAAAAATAATTGCTGTAATATTTATATTGAACACCTAATTGTTAAGTTATGAAGTTACATCATTAGGCAAAAGAACTTTTAAAACCTTAAATGTACATATGTTTGATATAAAAGATGTAGATATGAAATACAATTCAATTGGATTTACAATTTTTTGTAGTTAAACATTATTTTGTATGTACTAACTCAGGTTGATGATTTTTATACCCTGACAATGGAAAGACAGACAGGTCAAAGAAGTACACCAAATCTTCTGTTAGGGATATTAGACATGAGCAGATCAGCCGTAAAATCTCCGAGCGGCCATTACAGTCTGTCAGGTTAATTGCTCTTGCATGATGTCGGGAGTACAGAGTGTTTCGTGTGACCTGTGTCTGTGTGGCTAGAACATGTCCAGCTGATAACGGCTGTTGACAAAGGGCATGTGGTATAGATAACCAGGTGTCTGATTGGTCGTAAGGCTGATAAATTAGGACTTATAACTACTATTGACAGTACATGTTAGTCTGATAAATTAGGACTTATAGCTACTATTGACAGTACATGTTAGTCTGATAAATTAGGACTTTTAACTACTATTGATAAATAAACCTTAATAATCCTATAACAGGTACTTTTGCACTTTCAGATTTAAAAATGATGCGAGCTAGAAATGAAAGCTGTTCTAAATAGACAAGTGTACTTTGTAGAAATCGTATATACCGTATATCAAAATGGTTTAACTATATGCTTTAAAAACAATTGTGTTTTTTATTGTTCACAGGTGTTTCACTTTCAAAAAAGCAGTACAATAATAAAGTGGTAACACTAACAATTATTGGGATTTAGATTTACAATTACATGTGTCAGAGTTTATGTACACAATACAACATGCATCCCTGCAGATACATAATATGACAGATATCGTGAATCAATACAATATTTTATGTTATTCTGAGGGAGACTAATTAGTTTTTTGACATACTTTTAGTGTTATTATAGGGAGACTAATTAGTTTTTTGACATACTTTCAGCGTAATCCTATGGGAGGCTATAATTGACGTGGTGATCAGTTTGATATTAAGTGATTGACAAGTGTACTGTTTTGTATTTGGGTATCCTCCCTATGACAGCTAGGGGGAGTCTGGTGCCAGGAGATTGTCATCACTGTAAATATTTGATGTGCTTGTGATGCTGTAACAAACTTCACGCCTCAAGTAGGACGCCTGGAGTAGGACGCCTGGAAACACACCACCTACTCCAGGTAGGCTGCAGGTCCAGGTTTGTTCCATCATGGAGCTAGAAATCTGAATTATTCATATCATCTACCCAGGATTTCTTGTTTAATATGTAACAATACTGTCAATTCAGCAGCAATGGTAAATCTACCTGTACATTGTATTCTAGGTAAATGTATCAGGTAGCAACACAATCTTTGATTACAAATTGAAGTTGTCTGTGATACAAAGACTTCATTCTGATTGGAAATTAGCAATTTTCATATTTTCATACTAATAATAATTGTTTGCCTAAACCCAACTAACCCAGATAAAAAAAAAATCTTGAATATCTTTTACTGAATTTTTTGAATTTCGTTTCATGGTTTTCAAATTGCTGAAATTTAGTGAGCCTTGCACTACTATGTTGTAAAGTATCTGCTGGAACATATACAATAACAAACTTTTGAAGGATTTAATAAAACCAGTGAAAAAGAGGCATTTGAAAAGTGATTTAACCTAAAATGCCCGATCTATATGGGGTTAAGGTAAACACAAATTTTATTGAAATCGGCCTTAACTTTGGAAACCTGTGTTTTTCAATATTAATTCAAGGGTTCTTCTGCCAATTAAAAATCAATATAAAAATTGTTGACTTACCTGGACAGCACTATTAAGGAAGCAGTTGTTCTCTCCGGGTGCGTTGCGGAGACCTTTGGCAGATAAGGCTGTTGATGATGTGTTTTGATTGCCACGGTTATCCCATGTGTCAAACCAATGCTGGGGAGGGGCATGTCCACCATGGGGGAAGGATGGCCCGGAGTCATCCATTGTTTGATGTTTATTTATATGTCTTGTATAGGGTTACATAGTCTCTGCTCACTGCTGTCCACTGGAAAAATGAAGAAATAAAACAATATTATAAATATGTGTCTTGATTTGTGTATTCTCCGAGCTTGTTCTTAAATTTTAGAATATCATATTTACCAGTTTCTTCAACAAAACAAAAATTCTCCATACAGTCATACTAATAATTTGTGATTTTTACCTATGTATTTTAGCCATAACTACAGCGATATATTACACTTGTGTAAACCAGTGCCAATTTAATCTAAAGATTTTCCAGTTCTGGAAGTACAACTATCTTGTCATTATTTGGAGTTTTTCCATTTTTCGACCTTTTTGTTGGCTCTCTTCCAGTTGTTGTTATTGAGCTATACCATTGATATCAGGGTTTCTTATATTGGGTCTTACCGGTTTAGATAGTTAGTGGGTGTACGACAATCAAAATACTGGTTCATGATTAAACCATTTACCTAGAATCCTTATGTAATGCCTAAATCTTGTTTGGTGTAAGCAACACAAGCTTTTCATCAAAACGACACCAGGAAGGAAGGCCATGTTTTCTTTTAATTTTCTTGTAAAAATATTGACATGTCATACATGACTGGTTGTTTACACTTTAAACAAATTTTGTAGATGTTTACATCTATACATCTTGAAAGTCATTGATGTTTACAAACCAGCCAAAGACAAACCTTTGACATAAGTATACTAGTAAGATTTGCCATGTGTGAAAATCAAACTTAGAACAGGCGTTCATTTCAGACTATAAACATATAGAGACCGACATTCATAAGAAGAACATTTTTGTGGTCATTTGTCACATAAGGTCCCTTTTACTGACCAACCATTCAAACTTGACCATTCAAACCAACATACTGTATACTATGACTGACCATTCAGGCGTATGTTATTGATGTCAGATATTGATCTGTTGATTGGTATTGTAAGCCTTTGTATGATCATGTACCTGTCAGACGGCTCAATGATCTACCTGTATAGAAACAGTTTCATTATATAGATGTATTACCTAACTATCCGTAATTACCTTTTACCATTAAAGAGCTAACGTACAAGGTCTAGCTAGCCTCTCTGCTAGAGTTTAAACTGACATGATGAAGTCATTTGTCCCCTTCAGTCTAGAACATTGACCACTGAATTATGAACCACCCAAGGTGAGGAAGAAACTAGGTCAACAACTTATTTATATTATGGTAAAAAATCCAGAGTATACAGATTTTTTTGAAGATATACATTACCAAGTCATTGTGATCATAACATTTTCTTTCGAACAAAAAAGAGTTGGCCATAGAGAATCAACATTAGGCCCTCCCTGGTAAAAGGTCTGCCTTGGTTTTTTTACGCTTGTTTTATTCCTTGTTATTCCCAGGAGTGTCCTAAACCTTACCTGAAGCCCTATCCCTGTATTGATTCATTACCATGGCAGCACGTTTTACAGGTAACGATAACAAAGAAATAGCGTTTTATCAAATGTGCAGATTTAGGAAAAGTATTCTCTTACGGTGCTGCTGCCATGCATACAGACTAAATATAGTACATGTACAGTGCTGCCACCTTTAGGTAACATACTGACTTAAATAGTACAACGTTGCCACCTTCAGGTAACATACTGACTTAACAAAGTACAGTGCTGCCACCTTGTTCAGGTAACATAAGTTACATGTCAATGATGCCTAAATGATGGATAAAAGGCTGTGTATACTTTACCTGGGATCTAAATGGCATTTATGACTTAATGATCAGGTATAAACGTCTGCATTTACATGATACCGACATAAAGCTTACAGATACAACAGTCGACCTGGAGAGTGACACTACTCCACTCCCCTCGTCTCTCTGTCTTCACGCACCATTACCTCCCCTGATGTAACCCGAGTTTGTGTACAATATCAGCTGAGGTGAAAGGTCGATGTGATACTGATGTAACCCTTCCCTCTGTCAAACCCTGGTCATGTAACCTCATCCACAGGTATAATCAATCACCTCCCCTTAAACCTGATTAATTCATTCTCTGTCACTTTTTATTACCAATTATAATATATTTTTCCATTTGAAGGTGAGAGATCTTCTTATAGGTGACTAATTGTGGAAAGGTAATCCAAGGTGTGTGGTTACCAATCACAGTGGCGGATCCAGAGGGTTTTTGGCCTTCAAGAAACCCACTCCCCATCCCTTGAGAACTTTCTTTAAAAATCATGTATTTTCACCATTTTGCTCAGTTTTCCCGCCATTGAATCAGGAACTCGTTTTAAACACCTTTTTAATAGTCACCATATTTATAAACAATTCAAAGAAACTGTTTAAACTATTTGAATCATAACTATAAATGTGAATTTTCCAGAAATAAGTGTGTGACTGAATGATTTATATGAGTTTAAACAAGTTTGTCTTCACCTATTTGTGAATTGATACCTTAATCACCACAGTCACATTGATGTCCAATAAATAATGAAATCTAATGCAAGTCTCATTTACATCCCCAATGGTCCCAATACCTGACGGGGCCACGATAAGGGTAAGGGGTTGTAATTACTGGGTGTTACCAGGTGTACGGTCAAGTTTGAAGTTCCTGGATCTTTCCACTGGTCCATGGTAACAAATGGCATTGCTATCAGCATGCTGTTATCAGGAATAACAAACTTTATCAAATTATTGACAAACTGATTAGCACTGTTCTCTATGCAAGCTAGGAGGTGTAAGGTCTGCGACTAGCAACCCTGCTATTTCCTTAGGGTCTGTTAACTCTACATCCCAGAATGTCCTGAGCCTGTCTCACGTCCAGGTATCTGATAAGCTTGGCTAGAGGAGGGGTCAAGTATCTACAGGGCCAGTTGTAGATGGGTAGACAGGTAGATAACACAGGTAAATAACACAGGTAGGTAGCTGGTATACGGAACAGTAGGATACCTACACACAGCAGGTAATCACCCGTTAATTTATAATGGTGAAGCTTGTCAAGGATACTGGAAGCTTGACATATTTATAATATGTAAACAATTCATTTTGACATTACAAACTTTAAGGAAATATAGTTTTGTAAATATGATTACCATCAGGCTACTGGTAGTACACAGATGTTTGTAGTCTAGCTATAGAAAGTGACCCTATCTCATCATTTCTCGTTACACCCGAATTCATCAGGTCACCCATTTTTTTATATCAATATATAGAAGTAATCCGGTTTCTGCTATCATAGACAGTATATACTGTTTCCAGTGTAGATTTCATGCGTACAGAACCTAAACTGTGTCAGAGGTTGACATTTGTTTGACATGCTGCAGTATAAATATATCAATCTCTCCTGACATTGCATGAGATGTCATCATGTTGCTAGGCTAGCCTTTTATTGGGACTTGTCTGACTTCCCCTACCTCATGCACACAGGCAATAATATTAGGTTTTAGTCAGGCAGAAAATCACTTAGTATGACACTTAATTGTTAAATATTGAAATAATTGTCATAATGGAACTATGTGTGGATAAAAATGTGTTGATAATTTCACAGTAATTGAATGATTGATATGATGTGATCACACAATATCACACAGCATCTATTTTAACGGTGGGCGCCATAGCATGCTGTACACCCATCTGTATAGTAAACGAGGGGAATTAACAGAAGGTGTATTGTTATCTACAGGTAAATTAGGCCAGAGTTTACCTGCTGCGTCCTACAAACAACATTTACTGATAATTGATTTGTGTAGTTCTCTTTCTGTGGACGTGATATGTACGATATGTATTTTGTAGATAGGATGAGCTGACGATATGTACGATATGTATTTTGTAGATAGGATGAGCTGACGATCAGCTCTTGTTAGGGTGAACAGGTACATGTGTAGTATTACTCTACGAGAGGGGCGTGCTCCTACAACCTGACTCATTTCCTACTTTCCACACAGGAACACACATGTATGGCTTTATTCTCCCTCCAGGTAAAAGCCACCTTTGTTGTGGTGTTCAGGTAAAAAGTAACTTGATAGCAATCTGTCTGGGACTTTTTGCATTTTTCCAGCCAAATTTATTGAAGACGACTTTTTTGCAATAAACTAAATCTATCTCTTTTGTGATCTTTGCATTTCTTTTAGTTACTTAATAAAAAAGTGTCATTTATTTGTTTTTTAAAAAGTCTTTTAACACAATTGTTTCTTAGATAGAAAAGAAAAAAAGCATTTCCAGAAATAAACGAGATAAGTTATACAATATCTTATCTTGAACAACTATACTTGCCTATCCTTAGGTTAAATGTGTATGCTTTATGTTGTAACAGATAATGTTCTGACCTAAATAGTCAATGTTACTCAGAATTGTAAAAGATGAACAATAGACTTTTGACAGCAATTTATACAAAACAGGACTGTCTTTATCTAAACTATGTAGAGTGTTTAACCTAAAAAAGTGACATTTGACCTGTGGATAACACTAATGCTGTTTTGTATCCTAACTATAATTTGTCACTCCTTCCAAAGCCTTACAGTATCTAACGCTTACCTCATTAATTCAATATAGTTGGAAAACAATTTATAAGGTTGTGACGACAAAATGCTAATGAATGCTAAATATGCAACAGGTCAAGCTGATTATATACTAGCACAGGATAGGATGAAACGTTACGCATGCCACCCAAAGTCAAAACAATTTGCAACTAGCTATATAGCTTAGTATATGCTGGATAATTTGAAGAAACTAGTCATTTAAGGTCCAGTAATGGAAACTGAATGGAAATTGTCTATAAATGTACATATAAAACATAGCAATATGAACACTTGCAGATAGTGTTTCCAGTAATGGTTGAAAATGATGTATACACTTATTGTATACGCCCATATTAACCTCATTCTACATAATAGTAAAAATATTGTCTTTTGACAAAAAAAAGCACATAAAATTGCATTTCATTTACATTTCACATGGGAAGAAATTATCATACAGCTTAACTTGATTTGCCTGTTGAATAACAAATGGGCAGCAAACCTGAGCCTGAAGGTACCATGCTGTTTTCACTAAGTACCTGTCAGACAGAACTTGACCACACATAATGAAGGTGACCACAATGAGTCATGGCAGGAATAGGGTAAGTTTACAGGTAAGTACCTGGTAATGACCACAGCAAGTGTCCACTAATCATCTTTTACAATCTCGACAGGTAAGTACATAATGTTGATATCCAGGTTATATTTAGTTGTGTTTATTGTGATCAAATAATTACCGTTTAGATCTGAATTAGTATACCAATGTTAAAATTAAAGATCATTAAACTGTCTAATGGCCATCAAGATATGATCAGAGAAGGTCATCATTTTCATTGGTAATTTTCCCTCTAACTGTAGCCATAGTTTCACTATCACAAGGCACTGTCTCTTACATGCATGTTAATTTATGCAAGTTATAAGCCAGAAAAATAATCTCATTGATTTATTAGGAAACTTACATAAAGGCCTATTGTCAACAGATACAAAGGACATTTGACACAATCGTATATAACTAATCAATAAGCCATTAGGGATTAAAATCTTAAGAATACTGATGGTTCATTTTTCAGGTAGTTGTATAGAGAAATCGTGCATATTGTTCTAAGCATGGTGTATAGGTAACAGATGGTGGCAGCACATGTACGAGTAGAATAGTGTACAAACTGGGACACCTTGTTATTGTACTGGTCAAACTGATTGGGATCAATAGACAGATAGCATTACTTACAGACAGCTACACCTCTAAACAAAAACACATCAGCTACATTACTTCTAGCTTATCACATGGGCGCCATCTATACAAAACACATTTGGGACGCACCGTCCCCAATAACATGTTGCTTCTGTACATGATTTAAAACAAAGGGAATCCATTTAAAGGTATTTTTGTCCTCCAGGAAGGATAGTAGTACAAAAATATAAGGATCAAATAAACAATGACATGTCCGTCAATAATGTTTGGACGAAAGCAGGTGGATCCTAAATAACATTCTGTAACAGAAGGATATATTACCTACTGTCTGCACTTTCACCAATTGAACATTAAAAAAAAAAAACTTCGAAAACATTCAATACCCATTTGTATTGGGATGTCACCTCTTATTGGCCGACCAACGAAATCCAGGGTAAAGGGATTGCACGGTTGATTGACCAACACTACTACGGTTTGGCATGCTTCCAACTGGTTCATTTGACATCAAAACACCTAGGACAGGTAGGGATAATATAAATGGCGGCCGGTGACCTCATAACACTCTATACTACAGCACACTGAATAAATGTTTTCAATTTGGTTTAAAGCTTACCAGTAAACCCTGCCATGATAATAGATTTGTACATGGTTATAATATCCTGGCAGAATATCCCTATCAAAACTGCTTGTCTAAATGATTAATAATGTCCCCGCAGGATTTTACACAAAGATAGCGGTGTACATGTGTAAGCCTAAGACCCCAGTAACAAACGGAACCTTATCTGTGAAACTTGAGTACTTCTGTGATGTCACCTCTACCTGTTACATTTTTATAAATAACTGTTTTGATACCACACAATGTAAGTGACATCTTATTTTTACTTCCTACCGAAAAACCTCAAAGTTTTCATGGTACAGTACTTCCTTCTTCCCAGACCTTAATAAAGGCTTTTAACATGTTTCTTAGAAATATAATTTTCATTTTCTTAAGTTTTTTTTTAATTAACTCCTATGAGAGGTATGTTTATCATATTTTAAAAGTAAAATGATTAGACATTTTTGCAGTCAACTATGTAGTACATGTCTATTACTTTCGCCCAATAATGTGTTCTACACTGACAACTAGCTATATGCATAGTAAAGCAACTAAGCTACCTATAAGCTTGTTATTCATTGATTTTGATGGATACGTCTGTTATTACGGCCTTTCAGTAGACGAGTACAGATAGGAAAAGGAAACAGAAAGGATAAAAGCATGTAGAGAAGAGGAGAGGGTAGAGTTGGAGGAGATAGAAGTTGTCTGTCCTATAGACCTTCACGGGGGATTGTATAATTTTGCGTGACGACTCCTTGGCCGAAAAATGGTAACCTAGTGTTGATCTATAGCACATGTTGGGTGTGGAGGGATGACACCCCAAGGAAGACATTGAAAACTTCAAAAAGGTATTCGCCTTTATAAGCTAGAGTCTGGACAAAGTGTGACACTTTAAAAAGAGTAAACAAAGGGCCAAAACTCTGTATAATGGAGCAGCAGACCCACATTGATATCTTTCTCCATCATTCCTAGAGGTACTCACATGCAAAGTTTACATTGACAACTGTAGGTCAAAGTAACAGACTATATACAATGTAGCTGGAAGACATGGTACCAATACAAAGATAATTTTTTTCCATAATGACCTTAACTAGAGAATTGTTAACATTATTACCTGATACAAGATTCTGTTCATATCTTCTTATCTAAGCTTAAAATAAATAACACTATCCAAAATAAACATGCCTATTAAACAGATGCCATCATAAGGCAGTTTGTTTTTGGAAGAATTATCATAAATAATAGATTGATGATTTTATGATATACAACCAGACAAGCTAATGTCAGACTATCATCTTATGTCAACACCTGTGTCACTCAGGCTATTGCTTGGAGCATCATCTACCTGACTGGACACACCAGGTACACCAAACTTCTATTGTTCTGCATACCACATGGGATACCATGTCAGCTTTTTTCATGTTTACCTGACATGACAGGTAGCACCTCACCTGGTGTAACTCATTATTGCCACATTATGGCTGGCATCTAACTTTTACACCTGGTAAAATTCCAGTAACTGATACACAGACATCTCCACCCACAATATAAACAAGTGTTGTACATGTAATAGTTATTATACACTGTATAGATCTCTATTATACTCTTCATTACCATAGTTAAATTTCTTAGTGAACCAGTTTTATCCTGATAATTATAGAAGTACAAGCAGGAGTGAATGATTTTTTTTTTTACAAAACTGAAGATGGAAAACTGATTCTTACTTATACAGATTTACACTGTATATTGAAATTAACTTTACAATAGATAAAATTAAATATCTTCATAATTTCAAGTGAACAGAAAAAAATGATATTTCTTTATTTTTGATGCTTCAAAACAATTTTCTATGAATTATAAATCCATGCAGTATGAATTTTGACAATTTAACTAGCTATGTGATAGAATGTAAGAACAATAATTATACTATATATGTAAATGAACCCTCTAAACTACCTATTTGACCCCTGTATTATCCTAAATGATATCCAATCTTTACATGTCAACAATAATGCAATAGCTTACCTGTTAAAGGATAGAATATTTCACTAAATCTCATTAGAGGGTTCCACACACAACATCTATGTAATTCTGTCATTACTTTGGACTCTTTTAAGGTACTTTTTGTGAGCCATAGAATTGTGCTAAAAACTTTTCCCATTAACATGTTGGTTTAGACTGATAAATTCCCTTGAACATCTGTCGATTACATTACGTAATCCAAATTAAATTAGAAGAACAATTGTTACCTTATATTAACTGTTTTGAAAGGGATAATCCTAAGGGAATGTAGAGAGAAATCGCAACAAAAGCAAACACCTTTCGATGTCGGCATCGGGAAGGGATCAAAGGACACAAAGGTAGATATTACGAAGGACAGTTGTGACCTGGGGCGGTGTCTTTTATAGTTTACAGCACCGAAATCATGTTTATAGGTAATTAATGCAATTACATCTAGATCAATATTTTGATAATGTCGCGTTTCAAACAGGAAATCAGGTAACAGGATGTCATAGGCGTAGCACAGGTCAAGAAACGAACTAAAAGTTACAACCAAACATATTGAGATAATATTTTATGTTTACCAAAACATACATACAATTAAAGTGATAAAGTTCGTGTAGTGTGATGAATTAATTCATAAGTACACGTACCTTATCTTAAATATTAACTTTTCAATATAATTGCATAGACATCAGGCGAAAACATTAAATCACAGAAATAAGAAACGGACTATACTACGGCTTTCCGGAGCGACCTTACCTGTCTGAATAAAATCACGAATTCAACGATAAATATCATACTTTAGGGATTTGTAAATTTAGTTCTGTATTTGTTTGATAATAAGTGTTGGTATCGAATGTATGGTTATCCGAAAAAAGAGAAACACCCGAATTTACCTGAACGAACCTGGGTGATTCACCTGGTGGACTCGGTGATCAATTTTGGTTACCTGGCGTATATGATGCCGCGGCATTTCTGACGTACACACTCACACACACATCTAAACTAAATAATAAAGTTGTGATACTCACCAAAACTTCCTATATCCCAAGAAAACAGAATGTTAACACTTTCACAAATGTTTCACACAAAATCCGTGCATAAAACAGATAAAATCCGTAGAGTATACACTACACGAGTTTAGCGGTACTTCCAAGTCGCCATAATTTCTGCATGTCAATAACAGGCGTAGTGATAACACCTGTGACACGACTCATTCATTTGCATGATAATGAAAGTAGTCCCTCTAGTCGGTGATGTGTCACTACTCACCCACACCGTACTATAAAGAAATAGTTCGGTATTAAATCTACGATTTACATTATTAGAAATCCTGTCCTATTGTTATTTTGTCGCAGTATAGTTTTACCAAACTCTAATTGTCAATGCTCTGCAACCATATATTTATATGCAATCACAGGTAAAACAAAATGGTATATCAATGGCGGCGTTTTCACCTGTGTTTCATGTGAATCGTACGGATCAGCTGGATTACTATGCATTATGCTATAAAGAGCACCCGCCTGTACTGTCTAATACAGATCTACTTACTCCCACTCCTCACCCGCATTATCTGGATTACATTTATCTGTTACAAAATCACAAAAAGATAAAGTTCTTATACTCAAGAAATGTACACGTCATATTGTTTTATTCGTCATTCTACTTTTAATATATCAGAAAAGTACTCAAAACATGACGATGATTAACAAACTGTCTTTTGTTTATACAAATGCTTGTACATTACATATGAATTTTGAATATTTAATTATGTATATTTGTAACCTATATGCTGTATTGCATTTGGATATAAAACTTGTTTATTTTTTACTCTCTTTCTCTCAGATGACACTTATTTTTTCACTAACTACGAACATATGATTCTGTTATATATATTAAATAATACCTTATGAAAAGAAAAATATGAATTTAAACATGAACCAAATGAAATAAATGACCAATGATAGAAACTGAATTTTAGTTTATAGTTACAGTAAATATTACACATACAGTGCAAGTTGGCTCTTTTATCCAGCGCATGATCATATGTAGCGACTGTAACTCATCCTCACCAACCTCGAAATTCCAGTTGGGTAAATAATTAAGTTAATACAGTTCAGTTCTTTATTATTTGCTCAAGTTTTACAACTGATGGCAATTACAGATAAGACACAGACACTCGCAAGGAACTCACACACATCATCATCGTCATCAAGGACACACTCACACTAACTCGCACACATCATCATCGTCATCAAGGACACACTCACACTAACTCGCACACATCATCATCGTCATCAAGGACACACTCACACTAACTCGCACACATCATCATCGTCATCAAGGACACACTCACACTAACTCGCACACATCATCATCGTCATCAAGGACACACTCACACTAACTCGCACACATCATCATCGTCATCAAGGACACACTCACACTAACTCGCACACATCATCATCGTCATCAAGGACACACTCACACTAACTCGCACACATCATCATCGTCATCAAGGACACACTCACACTAACTCGCACACATCCTCCTCCTCCTCTTCCTCCTCATTCATAATCATAATCATCATCATCATCATCATCATCATACGCCAGAACCATTTTCACCCTGATACACTCAGACAAGACTTAATTAGCATAGTAGTATTTTTTCAATACTATTATACAATTTGTATTCAATAATCGTATATGCAACATGTATCTGTACATTACCTGTTTTAGTGGTAACCTCTTAATACATTTTCTCTACGTTTAACGATCTCTCACGTTCTCTACACAGAGGTACTGTAAGTAACCCCTGGAAAAGGGACTTTCTACTTATAAACCTGCTGTCCTTATTTTCAACACATTACCTTTTTTTTTTTAGATGTTTATTAGTTCCATTGCCAGAACAATGTTGTTCAGAGTGTACTATATCTGGGTTATATGATATTTCAGTGTTGTAACCCGAGGTCTGTGGATACATCTTTATATAAATGACCTAAACTTGGTTGTTGCGTTGATGCAAAGACTATAGATTACATATATTCTTCATTTATTGGTTAAATACGTCTCTGGTAAATGTAAGGACTAATATAATTTACGAACACTTAGTGTATCATGATTCAGATGCAGGTATTAACTGTGTGGGTATGTTATATTTGCATATGTTACCTGAGTAAAACCTACTGCGAAACACTCAGGGAGTAAGCATGCATTTTTATATATTTACGGCATGGAATATGTTACTCATTCATATTTACTGTCTGTAAAAATCAAAGTAAAGCTTAGCTCGTTAACCCAAATACGTGACACCTAACAGTGATCAAACTTCACACCTGGTTATACTTAAAAGGTGTATAATACCAATACATCAAATGCAGGTCATTGTGACCTACATTTAACGCTTCACTGATTTAGGTTAAACTTTACGTTTGGCGCTATTACTCGAATACTTAAAGTCCAACAGTCATAAAACTTCATGAATGTATAGTAATACATCTCTAGGAGTGCGACATAAAGATATCCTATGTTATCATGATGAAGGTCCATATAATGTTTATATTCCTACTTCACTAAAGTGTACTTTCGTAAGAGTTTGTGCTTAGATCAATTTCTATTAAAGTAAGAGCAAGGATATATGTATGTTTAACAAACATCTTTAAGCATACCAACCACACCGATCCGTAGTGAACTTTCACCCTTACTTCTATGTGTCCGGACATGGCGGGATGCACTCTGAGCTATACATATTCTAAATAAGACGCATTTAACATTGCTCGAATTCCGAGGACTTTTAGCAACAGAGATCAAAACAAAATTATAATGTTTATATTCAAGTCCGATGTACTGACATATTTAACTAAACAGACATTTTTCACTAAGCTGCCTGCACGTTATTTTGTTAATACGAGGAATGATACGATACAAATTATATTTTGTAATGAATGTCATGTGTATTTGCAAGCGTTGTGCATTTTTCAATGCAAATATCTTTTGACATTAAATTTTAAATCTCATTGTGGTATACATTTGGATTTGTGTATTGTTGGACCTTAAATCGCAGTATTAAAAGAAAGTCATCATTGCGCTAATGAAATTCTAGTATCACCATGGAATTAGATTATCACACACGGAGGCGCTAATTAATAGATAGCGCCTGGGCTAGCCTTCTTTCTCTGTGTAATGACGCGCTGTACATACGTATAGCAATCCTTGCAGCTGGTCAGCGTCACGAGGTAGGGTATGCTGAACGGGTCGCTCTCTTTAATTACAGCAGACACAAGAAAAAGATAAACAAAAAACCAGACACATCGACTTTTAAATGACGTCTAAAGGATTACTTCTCTTTAATTACAATAAGTTTTGGTTTTATTTTGTTTAACGTCCTATTAATTAACAGCTCCAGTCAGTTAAGGACGTGTGTCTCCATGTGTATAGTGTATGCGTGCATGTGTTTTTGTCTGATGGAGACAAGGTATGTTGGCGTACTTGCCTCATTGTGATAGCGCGGATCTGATGCCGACTTTATAGTGCTATCTTATTGAAATACCATGCCGAAGGCACCAAACACAGCATTCCGCCCGGTCACATTATGCTGACAATAGGTAAAAACAAAAGAAGATGAATAAATAAAAAATAAAAATAAACCAAATAGATTGCCTTTAAAGTGGTGTATACAACTAATACGGAAGTAAGACCTAAACTATTTCTTTAAAAATCTAAAATTAAATTATAGGAAGATTATGTTAATAGTGTAAAGATATGCTAACATCGGTACTATAGTTCAGGGATATGTGCTCATGGCGATACTTTTTGAAAACAAACAAAACAATGAATGTCCAAACAGTTTTCTGTCACCATCCACAATAAAACATAAAAACACGTAATCCCGTACTTGTCTACACCTGACATCAAGAGGGGACAGGTGGTCAGGTGGGTCAGTCTGTTCAGGTGGCTCTCGTGGGCGAAGTATGTCCGGAGTAGGTATTGAATCGGAGATAGTGACCGGCCGGATTAAATGACAAAAAGGGAATACATATTGAAGTCTGTGGGAAATGACAATAGAAATGTTACGTAATGAGCTACACAATAAAACTGAAGTACGAATAGACAGACGGAAGACAGATGGATTGACTTTTAAACGCAGGTGTATCTTTTTAACACGTGATATTTTCGCCAGGTACATTTGTACCAATAATGCGGTCATTGACCAGTCCGATATCAAAAAACCGCCTACTCAGATGTTGTCATTTATAGTTTTTCATTAAATAACATAGCTACGGAATGTCCTTGTTATAGATTTTAGATCTCTTGATATTTTAGAGAAAAGATGTGTTTTGCTTGATTGTTTTTATGAGGAGAAACAATTTATGTATGTAATATTTATTTGCGCATGTAAGCGAAACTTCGAAACAACTTTTTTTATTTATGTGTTAAAACTTCCCCACTTTGAATTGCATGTGTTTAGTAGCAACACCAAGAGTTCTTGTGATACCTGATCAGGAATCCCATTGTGACTGTGTCGCCCTAAGGACTGTTATTTCACCGAGAGTCTCTCATATCGGGTAGTACTTCGGGGTTGGAAAAAAGTTTAAATCGCCTTTCTACAATTAGCCAACAATCCGCATACGAAAATCACTGTAATTGCCACAGGGTAAAGATATACAGTTGTGGGATCGCACAACGTTACACGATGTGCGGTGTGCGCACGATGTGTGCACGGTGTGTGAACGGTGTGTGCACGATGGGCGAACGATAAAAAGCTGAACGATCATTGCTTGCGCACATATGTGCGCACGATGGACGGACGTTGTGCGATAACAATCGTGGTTGGTGTAAATTGAGGAATGCCTTAACAATTTATACGGTTTCTTGTTAAACATATAAACTTGATGTTTACGTATGTTTCTATATTCTAGCAACATCTATAAACTTATCTTTCTGTCTATAAATTCTTATATTTAGGAATTGTGTTTTCTGTGTTTTTAAACAAACTTAATCGACACATGTAAAATTACAACACAACCCCGTATACAGGTAAACATAACCATTGTGTACATGTACCTGGACCGTAGTTTTCTCCCCGCCTGGGGCATTTACGTAACTCGTCGGGTAAGGCCGGGGGTGTGAAAATCCAGGTGAAGGGGAGCTATATATAGGTAAACGAATGCAAATAACAAATCCTTTTTATTACGGTCAAACGGTATCG